GACTTCAAGATTTGGCAGGAAACTCCCCATAACGTTCCACGGCATGGGGGGGGGGGGGGGGAAGCATTAGGCTTAGTGGTAGTTGCTACTCATTTTAACATTAGCCCTAACCCTGACCCCCCTATAATATGGTACAGTCCAGGGTAACGCCTAGGCATTCCCTATGAAATCTCGAAGCCGACGTATCAAACAAAAGTACCATTGAGAACAACTATTTATATGCTGTTGTGTGGTTTTTGTTTTTGTTTTTTAAATTTTTTTCTATAAAGTCATTACATGTTCAGTAAAAGAGCAACCAAGAGGTTTCGAAAGAGGCGGGAGCCCGAAGACAACTTATCACAGACATCAGAAGGAGACAGTCATCACTTTTCGGCCATGTTATGAGAAGAGGGAAAATAGAACATGCTGTGACCACTGGAAAGATATGTGGAATGAGGGATAGAGGAAGACAACGAGAGAAGATTCTAGACAGTCTTGTTGCATGGCATGGCGGTGTGTCGGCACACGAACTGATACATGCTACAGGAGATTGTGGAATATGGAGAGGCATGATCGCCCACGCCAGTCGGCAAGGCACCTGATGATGATGATGATGACATGTTCAGTAGGTTGCCTTTGCATTCTTTAAGGTGCGACACTAACACCCGTGTCAAAGCTATTGCAATCTGAACTACTTGCCGACTGGTATGACGCTGATAATGTTGTCAAAGTCAATGCATGGCTTTCCGCTAGGTAATGATAGACGAGTTTGTCTCCTCCTAGCTGCTACCCAAAGGTTTACCCTACCATCCTGAGATTAAAAAATGGCAGTCTGGATGGAAGACCACCAAGGCAGATGCCAGATACCCTGTTCTGCGTTCATCCGAAGATGTAAATGCGTTGTATCCGTTTATAGCATTTATCCGAAGATGTAATGCGTTGTATCCGTTTACAGCATTTATGCGAGATGCAAATGCGTTGTATCCGTTTACAGCATTTATGCGAGATGTAAATGCGTTGTATCCGTTTACAGCATTTATGCGAGATGTAAATGCGTTGTACCCATTTACAACATTGCTACGATATTTGCGCCTTTCGGCCAACACATCTTTTCTACATGCATTTGTTGACCCGGTTTGTCTTCCCAGAGATACCCAATTCAATTGTGAAAGAAGTTATAATTAAAGTACATATAAGTTATATAACAGCCACACGAGCAAGATGCATCCTGCAATCCTATGCGGGTATAAACGATCGGGCAGACGATGCGACTTACATTTTTTTTAACAGGATAGCGGCACTCGATGAAAGAAATGTCCCTACAATTTGGCATCTGCAAATGCTAAGCATGTGCTCCAGCAATGTCAACTGTATGCTGTCAAGAGAGACGCAATCTGGCCTGTACCAGCCTCGATAAAGACAAAGTTGTAGGCAGAGAAATAGACTGCACAGTAGCTTTCATAAAGGTTACCAGCCTCCTAATAGGAAGATTTCTGACAGAAGAATCAAAGAAAAAAGAAGAAGGAGATGAAGAAAAACATATGAAACAGGCACTCGAAGGATTAACTCTTTGAGTCCCAAGGAACGCATCATACGTTCCTACCTAGAAGCCCAATGAACGCATGATGCGCTGATTTTATTACTTTCTTTACTACCCCCTGGGGCTGTGATGCTAAACCCCCTGGGACTCAAAGGGTTAAATGTCATGCTGTGAAGTAATAGTATTCTCTCTCTCTCTCTCACTCACACACACACATGCATATCAGATTCAACACTTGCTGGCTTATAAATGAAATATGTGACAGTAAACGTATAAAGGGCCCTTTCAAATGCCTTCAAGCATATTGGGCATATATGGCAAGACCTATCTATTACAGTCCCAAGTTCATAACTGCAGCAATACAGAAGGTTCAACAAGTTTTCACACACAGGAACAATACCATTATTTTGAAAACATTTCAATGTGTCATCCACTACAGAAGCACAGCTGGAGTTACACTGGTAATGACATCTGTGGTATGTTTATTTGTCCTATGTATGGAAACTTATGGGATACCCTGTCATCATCATCATCATCATAAGCTACTTCTGCCGTTAAGCATCGTGGGGAGGAATAATTTATGATCCAGTGCATGTTGGCTGCCACTGGCTTTTGTCATGCTGTGAAGCCTTAGAGTGTCTTCAATGTTGTCGATCCACATTTTCCGCGGCCGTCCTCTTGCTCTTGTAGTTGAACTTCTGAGATGTAGTGCTTGTGATGGTATTTGATCTTGCTGCATTCTAAAGAGATGGCCAAACCACTTGATCTGCTGTTTCTGGATGAATCTAGTACAAGGTGTCATTCCCACAATTTGCCTGAAAGTTTCGTTATTTACTCGATCTCGTATGGTTAGGTTGGCTGCTTTTCTCAGGCACCTCATAACGCAGGTGGTGATTTTGCGTATATGGGCTTTAGATAGTGTTCATGTTTGGCACTGGTAGCCTAATGTTAGAATGAAGATGATGTTAATAATCTGTCTCTTTGCACTCATAGTTATGCTTGGATGTCTTAATAATGGTGGCAATTGGTATATAAGTGCACTTGCTTTCTGACATCTGTACTTCCTAAATGGGAGAGGGCAGAGCCTAACATGCTTTCCCTGCCTCAAGGCCAAGCCATTCAATTCTCCTGAGGTGAAATTTAAAAACTTAAAAGGGGGAAAACCAGTCAATTCTGCAGTTAGTAACCGGCCACATGTACACAAAATTTAAAACTGGTGAATCAGCCATGTGCACATGTGGATTGGCACCCAAGACAACAGATCATGTCCTCAGAGACTGTCCCAAATACAACATATCAAGACAAAACTTTTGGCCAAGAGAAACATCGGGGCAAGTCAAACTTTACGGGTCGTTCAGTAAATTACAAAAGACAGTGAATTTTATAGCGGAGACAATATTGCAGATATAGATAATCTATTTAAAGCGTATGAAAGAAGAAGCAGAAAAAGAACTGATGTACAAAGAGAATGAATTAATGTGAACTTCAACTAAGAAGCTCAGCACAAGAAAGAAACACAGATGCAAGCAAATATTTTGTTTTACCGCAAACTAAGAAATATTCAGACAAAAACAGTCACAACCCATAAGTTATCAAAATACTTTAAAAACAAAACGGCAACAGGAAGTTGATGTGAAACAATTTTTACTTAGTTTATTAGCTTCCCATAAATAGTTTGCATTGATATGTTTTTGGTATCAGCTCCGCCCAAAAATAATGTAAAAAAGGACAGGACACATAGATCACTGAAATTTGTATTGCTGCAACTAATCCATAGTTAGTGGTCAACTAAGGATAACATAAGCAAGAAATTATTAGGGCATATAGAATAATTTGTGCTTGCTGCACATTTTCCCGTAGCAACTAATGGATGCGAGTCAGGGACTCTTAATCTTTGAAAAATAAAGAAAATCGAGAAAAAAAAATCAAGCTTTTGAACTAAAACCCTACAGAAAAATTCTTAGAACACCAATGTACTTACTTATTGCTTCTCTTCTACCTTGGGGTATAGAGGTTTGCCAGAGAGATTACCAGACTTTTCTAGCTGCAGTTTTCTTTTTTTGACTTTGTTCAACTCCAGTCCTCTGTCAGTCAGGGACTGTTAGACGTTGTATTCCCAGTGACCCCGGGTCACCCTGTTTCTTCCCCATTTCAGTCTATTACAGCTCCACGGTATCTGAACTGGCTGACCTGCTGTAATGCATATCTTTCTTTTTTTGCGTTCTCTTTCTATCATCGTTCTATCAATCTTGCCAGTCGCTACTAAGTTCCCCAGTCCAGTCCTTCTTATGTCGAAAAAAACACACAGAATGCATACATCTAATAAGTTTACAATTTTCTACTGTCTTAATGAGGACTACTTCGTTTATTTTTCTATCACTCCATTGTATTCTTTGCATTCTTCTCAAAAACCATTTATCTGCAGTGAGGAAATATTTTTCAGCTTTTCTGCTTATTTTCCTTGTCTTCAGTAAATTCAGAATCCAAAGCGGCAATGATGTCATAGAGAAATTACTCTATTTTACCATGAATAAGACGCCATCATGTGGAAGAGGACATCTATTTGCTAGCCCTAAATTAGGAAATATAAATTTTAAATACATTCTGTGTATTCGTGACTTCCAATTTCAAACAAAACAATTTTGGGAAAACATTGTCTTACACAAAGAAAAATACAATACTTCCATTTCTTTCAGATCACCTCAGCCACCAAGGACAGCTGGTCACCTCATAAATGTAGGCAACAATATAACTGTCTTATACAGTTTAAATCTAGGATTTTTTTGTTGGATTCACATCTCAACAAAATGAAACAAAACAAAGTGGCTCTTTGGGTTACTGATGTCAAATCTTCAGAGGGAATATAAAAATCACAACAAAAATGTGAAAACAAACAAACAGAAATTGTTGAATGTCACAATGCCTTGGTCACTCTGAGAGGTTTTAGGTGCTTTCTCTTGACACGTGTGCCACAGTGAGGGTACGGACATTTACGTTCTTCTGACACCTGGATTGTAGAGGCAAAGAAGTTACTAGTTTTATTCAAAAACTACTCTGTTAATTAACATGTTAAAGAAATATTGGTCAACTAAAGTCATACACAATCAACATCTACAAAATAATACTAATAATAATGTTCTTCTTCTCTGTTCACCCGCTGTAAGCTCCGACGGAAAGTTCTGGTTGTTCATCCAGCTGTAAGCTCCGACGGAAAGTTCTGATTGTTCATCCAGCTGTAAGCTCCGACGGAAAGTTCTGGTTGTTCATCCAGCTGTAAGCTCCGACGGAAAGTTCTGGTTGTTTATCCAGTTGCACACTGGCTTTGTGTCAGGGCCTGAGTTTTGTGGGCACAACCGTTTTATTGGTTTCTTTGGGTGCAGTTGGTTGTTCCTTGTCGCTTGGGCAGATGCACTGAAACTTCGAAGTAAGCTGGGTTATAATACTGATACTAAGAATCCATTAACGTGCTACTGGATGGCAATGTAATTATCAACCGTGCTGGCCTGATATTTATTTTTACAAATAGAAATAAAAATGTCTTCAGCTCAATAATATTTATTTTCAATCTGGAAAAAAAATTTACTGTCATCCAAAATTGTCATTAAGACCTGTATTTACCACATTTTAGGATGGCGTCGAGATAGTGAGACTGGGTGGTTAGGTAGGTGTGTGAGTATGGATGTTTGTGTGTGTGTATGTGGGGGGGGGGGGGGGGGGGGAAAAGGGGGGGGAGGTAAGGCATATGAACCTGACTATTTAAGTCCAAATGGCTAGTACAGTCACCATTAATTGCACAGGTTAGGTTTCTTATTTTTGCCGCCCCCAGTGAAAAAAAAAATTACCGTCACTTTACTTGAGGATTCAAATCCGGATTTCTGGAAAGAGAGTCCACTATTCTAACTGTTTAACCAGTGGCTCCTCTACTGAACTATCTACTTAACTCAAAAACTGTCTGTTTCCAACACTGGAAGCAGCACTTTTAACTATCTACTTACCTCAAAAACTGTCTGTTTCCAACACTGGAAGCAGCACTTCTAACTATCTAGTTACCTCAAAAACTGTCTGTTTCCAACACTGGAGGCAGCATTTCTAACGTATCTATCTAGTTCCCTCAAAAACTGTCTGTTTCCAACACAGGAAGCAGCCCCTCTAACTTAACTATCTACTTACCTCAAAAACTTTCTGTTTCCAACACTGGAAGCAGCATACAGCTCCACATTCATGCTGATACCCATCGACCGGAAGTTGTCCACACAGAACACAAGTTGAAAATATTGTTTCACCTGAAAACAAAGATAAGTGCTTTCTTGATATCCTACCCCAAACAGGGGAAATCCACAGGTCACGGGACAGTCTAATATTTCTAGGGGTGCTAGATAGGCTGCATGCAGTTGTGGGACCTAGGCTGCATGCAGTCGTAGGAACGTAGGTGGGTTGGGGCCATTTATAGATGTTTTGGGGTCGTTAAAACATCAGAAAGCCTGGAAACCAAGTCTGACAAACCCTCTAAAATGTTGGACTGTCCTGTGTCGTCATCTGGGGTAGAATATTAAGAAAGAACCCAAAGATGTAAACCTTCACTAACATGCATGTCTCTCTCTCTCTCTCTCTGTGTGTACGTGCGTGCGTGTTTTTTTTCTTTTCATGATCATCCTTAACAGGTGCATTGAAACTGGAAAAAGCAAAAATACCTCTCCACAACATGCAATCCCGAACATCATGTTCCGTTCGTGTTTTGACACCTTTACATGCTTCTTTCTTCTTCTTATTTTCTTTTCTCCTGGAATGCCTCGCGACAGTACGGCAGGAAAAGATCTATAGAACGGGCCTTGTGAGATCTTTTCATTTTCTATGAACACTAAGTAAGTCACTGTCAGTTTGCTGGACCAGTCACAGTGTTTTTCAAACTTCCTAGAAGGTCACACTTGAACTAGACTATCACATTTAAACATGTCCACTCTAGAATGTCTGAAACCTACCCGGTTAGATGCTGTCCGAAACATCCCCTTGCCTCGTTATCTTAAATGGAAGTCTATATGCATTGACAAAGTATTTACCAAAATTCTTTTATCTTCTAACCTTTTTCTAGTCTGTCTGGTCAACATAATATGTTCCAGTTTCTTTCTTCTTATAATATTTTGTGGCATGGTCATTAATTGTCCAGGATTCAAAGGCATATGTTAAAACTGGTTTTATTTTGTTTCCAAATCGGCAATGCCCATGTCTTACTAGGACAAAGAAGACAGAAGAGGAGAAGGAAGAGCAGGAAAAAGAACAAAAACAAGAGGTAAATACTTCAAGAACAAGAAGTAAATTCTTTATGCCTGGTTTACTGTGGTAAAGGCAAGGTAAACAAATTTGAATACTCTAATTTAAAATAATTTAACGGACACCTAAAACACTAATCGAAAATTCTGATCAGAATGGCTGGTTCTGCATCAGTTGGTGGTGAATTGATGTATGACAAGCTAGATGTTGGAAGGGCATTTTGGGGGCAAGTGAAGAGGGCGGAGGCAAAAATAGATCACCAAGGTCTGTGGAGAATCGCGCTGCAGGGAGTTACCCGGGGATCTGGCCGATGCTCAACAATCAAGGGAAAGGCGAGATGGATATACAATCAGACAGTTACTGGTGCCATCAGAATTGGAACTCTTCGCCTGCTGCTGATGTTGGGGATGGAGCGCTTGTCGGGGGGTGTCCCAAGTGCTGTGATGTCGATTCTGAACTCAACATTTAACATTCTGGTTCAGAATTTATAAATTCTTTCATACCAGAAAAACTCACAGATAAATGACCGACCAAGATGAATTGTTTCTTCTCCCTGTGTGGGTTCTGGAGGCCCTGTGTGGGTTCTGGAGGCCCTGTGTGGGTTCTGGAGGCCCTGTGTGGGGGCAGAAAAAGAACAGACCCACAACCACTCTAACAAGCATGGCATAAGAGCCCAATAATTAGGGGTTTCCTTCGAAGTAGGGGTGCATTTACCTGAGAGGCAAGGAACCACAGTCTGCACACAAATAAGCCAGATCTGTAAAACAGATGTGCATGAAAAAGCCAAATTCTGGAACACTACTTAAGTCCAGAAGTGTACAAACAACCAGAACTTTCGGCCTAAGTTTACAGCCAGTGAATGTGAAAACGAAGAAGAATGCTTTCTTCGAAGCTATACCAGCTGTTTTTCTAAAGTGGATGGTACCTCATCAGTGATGGGGAGGAGTTAATCTTAAACTAATCAAATGTTCCTTTCTGGAGTCAGCAGAGCAAGTGTATGACTTTCAACAGGCAAGGGGAAGTGTTATCCTGCATGCTAACCAGAAAAACTTGAATGGTGTCTCAGTGAATGCAATCCATTCATGCTTCATTCCATTAGACTACTGTTCCCTTGAGGAATATAGTTGTGAAATCTGGACTCAAAGGGTCTTCTGCTCTTCCACCATTTGTGGCGAGATGTGGGGAGATGTTGTGGCGAGATGTTGAGGGGAGATGTAAGGAGATGTTGTGGGGAGATGTTGTGGGGAGATGTGGCGAGATGTTGTAGCAAGATGTTGTGGGGAGATGTTGGGAGATGTTGTGGGGAGATGTGGTGAGATGTTGTGGGGAGATGGTGTGAGATGTGGGGAGATGTTGTAGCGAGATGTTGTGGGCAGATGTTGTGGGGAGATGTGTCGAGATGTGGCAAAATGTGGGGAGAAGTGGGGAGATGTTGTGGGGAGGTGTGGGGAGATGTTGTGGCGAGATGTGGGGAGATGTGGTGAGATGTTGTGGGGAGATGTTGTGGGGAGATGTAAGGATCGTTTGAGCGCTTTTTTCAATGCATTGTTTAAGCTGGTGTTCATTTCTGTCAGGTTGCTCCTGATGATGTCGCTCCATCTCTTGCGTGGTCTTCCCCTTGCACTGTGTTTATTATATTTTTTTCAGCATGGCTCTCTGTGGCAGCTGGTACCAAGGCATTCTCGTCAGGTGGCCAAACCATCTCATCTGTTGCTCTTTAATTAACTGTACGACTGTTTTCAGTCCTAGTCTTCTAATTTCTTCAATCTTGATTTTATCTTTTTTGAAAGGGTTGGTGCTGTTCATGTAACCGTGACATTGACCTTTCATTCATACCTTCCTGGACTCTTCTGGGTCACAGGGGTGTGTGAGTCTATTCCATCCTGGACATCTCACGGAACGGCACAATGAACAGCGAGACTCAACATCAGTCAATGCATTGCTCACAGAACGCCACAATGAACAGCGACACTCAACATCAGTCAATGTGTTCATCAGAGAGGGGCCAGATGCCACAAAATCACATATAGTCGGTGTCCCCGAAATAATATAGAATTAGGTCACACCCCTACGCCATAAATGAAACAATGTGCAGTGCGTAACCTAATTTAAACATCAGTTATTGTGAACAGCAGCGTCCGTGGCTTAGGCGTTGCGAGTCCGACTCGTAATCCCAACATACCGTGATAGAAACCCACTGCTGGCTGCGTGGATTTTTATCATGGTATGAGGCGTCGCAGTTCGACCCAGCCTAAAATGGACACCAGAATGGCTGTCCTGGGAAAGTAAAGACGGCCGGCGTAATGCTGACCACATTACCCATCCAGTGCCGATTGGTCTGTAAAAATATGGGACGCTCTTCCCATATACCAGATGCACCTAAGGCGTGAAAAGGGATCTTTACTTTTTACTTTTTTACTTATTGTGAACAGCACCAAAGGGGTAAACCTGAAAAACTTCCACATGACCATGCCCGATATGGAAGTCATTATTTCAGGCTTTACCCACTGTGGCTATTGCTTCTTTAGAACTTCACTGGTAGGAAAGGGTTAAACTTATGAACTGCATTTCTAGTTTCAGACTGTGTGCGTTGGAACTTCTGACAGCTGCCTTATGCATTTAATGCATGGGTATGCTATTTGCTAAGACTGCAGTCTGTGTCAATTTTTTCACAAGGGACAGTAAAGGACATTTTGTGAGGTTGTCACTGGCACAGGAGCGAGCAGAGTGACCCATTTGCTATAAATTGAAACTGCAATTACTTGATTACTTATGAAACTTATACAGAACATGCCTGTTCAACTATTCTGACCTTCAGGAAACCTGGCAAACTCACGCCTTCCTGTTTCCACCTCTTCCCAAGTTTTTGGGTAAACAAACATATCTGGGGTAAAAATTCCATCACTTGGATCAATGGCTCCCTTCTGCACCAAGTCAAGATACGTTTTCCGGGCATCATATCTAAACTTCTCGGTGTTCATGGTGCCCGAGCTCCACAGGAAATGGCCGTGACCATGCAGAGCACTATCCTGGCGAACTTCTTTTGACCTCATGGTGATAGCTCCATCATCACGCATCGTGAGAACTGTCAGGTTAACGACGTCCTTGTACTGAGGGACGTAGCCCCGAAACTCTGTAGAGATTTAGTGGTATCAGGTCAGTAAATTGTGATCCACCAGGAAGTCCCGCATTAGTTAAATTGATTTCTTTATGAATCTTCTTCTTCTTCTTCAGCACTTTATCACACAGTTGAGCATATGGGTTCAATTAACTTGCACCAAGTCTTTTTATCCCAGTCTGTAAGTATCTTTGCAATCACCATCATCATCGATCAATCAATTTGTCCCCTCTGGGCTGTAACCTAAAGATTTACCATACAATCCTGAGATTAAGCAATCTCAATCTGAATGGGAGAACAATAAGGTAGGCCCCCCCCCCTCCAAAGAGGTTATAATAAGGGCACCCATAATGGCTATGCCAGCCAGGTGTAACTGTGCCAGCCAGGTGTAACCGTGCCAGCGAGGTGTAACTGTGCCAGCCAGGTGTAACTGTGTCAGCCAGGTGTAACTATGCCAGCCAGGTGTAACCATGCCAGCCAGGTGTAACCGTGTCCGCCAGGTGTAACCGTGCCAGCCAGGTGTAACTGTGCCAGCCAAGTGTAACTATGCCAGCCAAGTGTAACTGCGCCAGTCAGGTGTAACTGCGCCAGCCAGGTGTAACTGTACCAGCCAGGTGTAACTGTGCCAGCCAGGTGTAACTGTGCCAGCTAGGTGTAACTGTGCCAGCTAGGTGTAACTATGCCAGCCAGGTGTAACTATGCCAGCTAGGTGTAACCTGCATCCCTAAGTGAGTAAGGACATCATCATCCTCTTGCTGTGCTATTTATACGTCACTTAGGGGCTTGCTATCTATTCCCTTCACTCCATTCTATCCTGTGCAACATTCTTTTAGATATCATGGATGGAAGTCAGTCCAGTACCTGTGGTCTCTCTCATCAACGTTCACATTAGGGTTTCCTCATTTCCTCAGTCCATTTGCTGCCCATATCAGTCAGTGCCTGTCTGGTAATAGCAAAACACTGCTGCTATTTGGTGTATGCCAAAAGGGGGGTTAACCGTCTTTAAACTGTCATTATGACATCACCGTTTTTATCTGCAGCACGATGTCACATGCTTAACACTCTTGACATCCTTAATAACAATACTGACAAGTTACAACAGTGGTCTCCAACCTGCCGCCAGACCCCCCCCCCCCCACCTCCTCCCTCCCCAGGAAGTGTTGTTAACTCCTCCCAAACCATGAAAATAAATGGGTTACATTTTCATTTGTCATTATGATTACAATGTTGGATTTAACAGTCACATTGGCAGCCCAGGTTATTGTTATTGTGTATTTTTTGTTTATTGCAACAATCAGTACAAGTAAACTTTTGCTGGAGTTATCCGTTTGAATACTTTTACTATTACTTCCCTTGAAAAGGTAACTGGAAAAAAAATATATATTGAGCCGTTATCTTCCTTGAAACCACATATCTACATGTGTCTGAGACAATACATTTGTCTGTCTCCTAAAGTGTTAAATACTTGTGTTGGTATTACAGGGGATTCTTCTGGTGTAGTCAGGGGCAATGGCTAAAGATACGGCAGCGGTAGAGACAAAGATGAAGTAGAAAACAGGATATTAAATACAGGATCTTAGTTAGACCCCTATTTCCACATGGCCCACATATAGGGCAGCTGTGGAAACCACGATAAGGTAGAGGATGGGAGAATAAGACTTTCTTTTACTATGCCAGAAAAACCCTGGGCAATTATATCTTGTAAATAATAAAACACGAAAAGTGTAAGTAAGCAGAAATAATGACAACAGATAGAATATCATTGCAATATTTCCCCACTGTGAATTTGAACAAAGAAGACACAAACAACAGATTGCACAATTTAGTTTTGCTAAATATACAAGGCAATAAATGGTGCAATCTGTTGTTTGTGTTTTATTTCTCCAAAACGACAGAATGTTGAATGAATACCTTTGATATCTCTGCTAGTATCTGTTGTTGAACTGGAGCTGGTAGAGGCTGCAGTACTGCTTGCCGTAACTGAACCATTGCCATTGGTTAGATATACATCACCAGATCTGGAAGTAAAGCAGTTAAAAACTTCTTTCATACTGCCAATATTTTATAAACTATTATATGTGGATGTGGAAGACAAGGAAAAGCTCCCATTTAATTTTCCAAGAATAAGTTTGTGGCCAGTTTCAAAGTAAGGTTTTTAGTGTAACAGAGCACATCGATTTTCAAAAACAATTTTTTTTTCAGGTTTGCTACACTAGCCTCAGAATATAGGTACAGTTAAAGCTCATTAACACAAACCCAATTTAAGACAAACACTTGATTAAAATAAACAAAATGATGGCCATGTATTAGTTACACAATATGTGAGATAAAACGTATTAGAAATGTGCTGGGAAAAACAAGAGAAAGAAGATAGAAGGTTACTTCAATCTTCGCGGTTCACCAGCTACACTCTGGCGGAAACAATACTGCAGGCTCCACACAGATCTCATTCCGGTACAGAATGGTTCCTTGCCTCTCCGGCATAGAACTCCGATCGAAGGAATCAAAGTGGTTTGGGGCCTATTCTTGTTTTCCCCAGAATGAAACCACACGGGGGGGGGGGGGGGGGGGGGGACAGTACCGGTGAATGATTTCACAGAACATCAAGGAATCAAATGGTTTGGCCATCTGGTTAGAATGGAAGAAAATCAGCCAGCAGCAAGAGGCCGACCAAGACAGAGAGGGGTGGAGGGAGTAAAAGAGAATAAAGAAACATAATATCATATTAATACAAGTTACACTACTAGCAAAGGCCAGAAAACTACATCTAACTCCACTCTGTGACGCTTTATGGTATAAGCAGCAGGACAAAAGAAGTAGTAGTAGTTTCCAGTTACCTCAACATTTTATAGCATACTTTTTTGGTTTTCAGTCCTTTTCATTTGGAATGTGTGTTTATGAGGTTTTACTGTATTCTGCTTCATCAAGTCCCTAACTGCTGATCTGTCCAACTTCAAGCATTGTCAGCAGCTACATTACACTAGCTAAAAATGGCTATCCAGTCTATCAGAAGTGAACATAATCAAGCCACATGACTACTATTTACTTGATTGGAATAGGCAGGCCATCATTGTACGTCTCAAGACAGGGCAGAATAAACTTAACATACAAATGCACAGGCCCTGTCTGAGAAGTCCACCTTCATGAAAATGTGGGCTGTGCATATAAACTACAGAACATATCTTGCAAGACTTCCTTCACTGAGAAGTATTCTGGCCCAGTGAGTCAACATCATACTCAATGCTATATGGAACTCAAGAGGAACTTGAAAAAAAAAAAAAGTAAATTTTATGGAAAGAACTCATCTGACCGTAAATTAAAGAAGTGATTACAAGAAGAAGTTTTACATAGAAGAGGCGTGGAGCCTTATGATGATGAGTTTTCAATAAACAGATAAGAAACAATGTAATGTCTCCATATAAGATACCACTGAAGGTTAACACTTTTGCTCCTATGTAGTGCAAGGTTCTCAAAAAGTAATTAAACATCACTGGTTCTATCTGCACCTGTGCTGCATTTAGGAAGGCTAGACATGAAACATTTACTAAATCTAGCATCGGAGGGGAAGCTTGTGAACTAAACGGTTTTTTTAAAGTCATGCTGATGTAAAATTTCCCGTAGCCTCAGTAATAGAGGTCACAGCATGAGTCACTCTACACATTTAGGGCCCCAGGGCATGTGATTAATGATTAGAAAGGATTATCATCACAGCACTCTGGACAGATCCATAGGTGCTCTGATCTCCTCCTCAAAAGCTCCACAAGTGTAAAACCACTGATGACCCCTGTTCTGTGCATTGGAACAGAATTTTGTAAGAGATCTTTCCTTGCACACTCTATGGCAAAAATATTTCCCAGGTTGTGTCCTTGGCTTGCTGGGCAGCTGCTTTGAAGGCTGCTGTTGTGGTCTGCATGGTGTGTTTGCATTCCTGCAGTAGGTCTGGAGGAGAGTCAGTGGATTTCATTGCTTTCTGCCACATCTTTACAGCATGTCTTTTAAGTACCCACGCTGACTCGACCTCATCATTCCACCACAAAGGTTGTTGCAGCTGTTTTATTCTGCCTACAGGGTGTTGGCTTTTGATTTTACTAAGCTCGCTTACGACATCATTTGCGGACGTGTATTTAAAAGGGGTTTGAATTGATCCTATGATGTGTGCTGACACCCTTTTTTAAGAGAATAACAGAGGGATAGTGGTCGCTGCCATGATTACCTAGTACATACCAACTACAGAGTGGATTCAATGAAAGTGAAACTAAAGCCAAGTCACGCACACTGCATTTCCTTCACTCTGTTCATGCTTACTAATTACTCCCTGTATAGATATTTACATATTTTAAAAAAAAGAAAGAATTGTAAAGGAATTTTATCAAATGTATCAATGACCTGTGTAAAATGTGTTTTAAAGATTATATAGGATATCCCATGGGGTCATGGGTCACTGAGGGTTGCAAGGAAGGGGGGTCCGCAGGGAAGAAAGGGTCCAAATAAAGGACTCCCATAAGTCGTGTCATGTAAACTGGAGAAATTGTACTGAATTAACATTTGTTAGTTGCACATCCACTTTCAGAATGTACACAGCCAACTCCAGTTTTATTTAGTTGTTTGTGATTTTACTATACAATTTTACCTTGAGTAGATTGTCAATGCTTTCTGAACTCTCAGCACTCCTTTTCATCATCGAAATCTATGTAAAACGGTCTGCTTTAATTCGTCTGCAGTCTGAATGAAACCGGCAATTATAAAGTGTATTCGCAACATCTAAACCACTGACACTAACTGATATTTGTTGGCGATTCTAAATTTTCTACCGGCAGCTACTACATTTGTATTGCAAATATGCTGCACAGAGGATCTCCCGTCTTTCACCCATATTCAGTTTCAGGACATATGGGATCGAGGGAATGTCTAATATTATTATAAACCAACAGATCACATAAGAAATTTCAAGGCCCATGCCGGGTTTTGAACCAAGTAAATCATAGTCAAAACTAGGATCTCATATAATACCAGGGAATGCCCTGGTACCAAATGCTACAGAGAGTCAAGCTGAAGAAAAAAAACATCAAGAATAGCCTTAAAGAAATGAAGGCCAACAGATACAACACAGGAAAGAGCACACAAAAGACCTCCAGGTAAACCAAAGTTTTGAGGGGGCTGATTGGTCTCGAGACATGGTGATTGGTCTCGAGACATGGTGATTGGTCTCAGGGCATGGTGATTGGTCTCGAGGCACGGTGATTGGTCTCGAGGCACGGTGATTGGTCTCGAGGCATGGTGATTGGTCTCGAGGCATGGTGATTGGTCTCGAGGCATGGTGATTGGTCTCGAGGCATTGTGATAGGTCTCGAGACATGGTGATTGGTCTCGAGGCACGGTGATTGGTCTCAAAGCATGGTGATTGGTCTCGAGGCATGGTGATTGGTCTCGAGGCATGGTGATTGGTCTCGAGACATGGTGATTGGTCTCGAGGCATTGTGATTGGTCTCGAGACATGGTGATTGGTCTCGAGACATGGTGATTGGTCTCGAGGCACGGTGATTGGTCTCAAAGCATGGTGATTGGTCTCGAGGCATGGTGATTGGTCTCGAGGCATGGTGATTGGTCTCGAGGCATGGTGATTGGTCTCGAGGCATGGTGATTGGTCTCGAGGCATTGTGATTGGTCTCGAGACATGGTGATTGGTCTCGAGACATGGTGATTGGTCTCGAGGCACGGTGATTGGTCTCGAGGCACGGTGATTGGTCTCGAGGCATGGTGACTGGTCTCGAGGCATGGTGATTGGTCTCGAGGCATGGTGATAGGTCTCGAGGCATGGTGATTGGTCTCGAGGCATGGTGATTAGTCTTGAGGCATGGTGATTGGTCTCGAGGCATGGTATCTGTCCCCCACGAGTGCTGGAGGTCCCGGCTTTAAATCTCTGTGACGGCTGGGATTTTTTCACGTAGACTTCTTGTAATTCCCCCTGGTCTCTGGATAGTAAGATCGGACACCCGTGTGTATTGTTACTCATGTAAAAAAAATCCCTTGGCAGCTGGAAATCGAAAAGCTGCCTGGGCGAAATATGAACTCTAAAAAAATCTACCCAAAGTAGTTCAGGATCCTCGCCGATGCTACGGAGTTTGTGCACTGCACTGAGAATCTTCAGACTCAGGTTTGAGTTAGAAGTAGAACGGAGCACTTAAGGGTTACCACCCTTGTGCCATAATGTTGATCAGTTGTTTAAACAGAAACATAGAAGATCCTTACAACCCCCCCCCCCCCTTTCAATCAAGTAACTTGAGGACGTGAAGAAGACAGAGAATACAAAAATTCAGAGACAAAGAAGACAGGCACTACACCTCCCAGGCATACTACCTTAACAAATGATCATCGTGAAATACTTCCCCACCTGTTGACATGTCCAGTCTTTGTTATACTAGTGACCACATCATCCCCCACACGAGGTGTGTTCTTATCCAGCAGACTGTTGCTATCATTCTGTGAGGGTTTGTAACCACATGAAAGACCAGTAAGTTCGTAGCAGGTTCGAGCATAGTACTGTTTGTCTTCCTGGCGAACAAACCTAAAGAACTCTTATCAGATAAGAAAAGAAAATTAAATTGGTTAAAATATAGTAAAACCTGGAAAGGATAAGTCATTGCATAAATCTGACAATATAATAAAAACACATTATTCACTAGTTCCCTTCTCCGTGTGTTTCTTGGACAGTCGCTGTTTCTTCAACATGTTGCGGTGCAAGGACAATCTAGTTTTACAGTTCTCAGCATGTGTCCTATCCAATGCCAGCATCTTTTCCTCATCTCTTGATTCACTGGAATTTGTATAGTTCTATCTCAAAGTTTAGGTGGTTCAATTTAATTCCCTCTATTCTGTGTAAAAATTAATGTATGCAGTTCTTTTTATCCTGCCTTCATCTCAAGAGGTAAATGTGTTGTGCCTGTTTACAACATGGCTTAGATATTTGCAACTTTTGGTTGACACATCTGACTTCTGCAGGAATGTGTTGCTTGGGTGAGCCTTCCCAGAGATTTATATAGTTTATTAGTAACTGTTTTAGTTGCTATCCATGTTTTGGATCCATAAACAGTACTGACAAACACAGCAGAGCATTGCATACAAGATCTGTTCAACCATTATCTGGTCTGTATGTAGGGAAAATGAAATAACTCACATGGACTCAGAAAATATTTTAGGTCATGCAAGACATTATGCGCAGCATGACGGCAGAGCTGGGCTCCATTCTTAAAGAGGCCTTGCTGAAATACTTCAATGGCGGGGTATCTGGGTAAATGGTTTGCATTCCCAAAGAGTCTACTTGAAGGAGAATAGGGCTTAAGAACTCCAGAAAAATAACTTTTTCTTTCCCTGCTACAAACTGGTTACTTGTTCACCTTGTATATTCCAAATATTTTATGTCTCTTTTGTGTTCTTGGGGAGGTGTGGTTAAAATAGCGTCAAGGTGCTTGCCTGCTGGCGGGAAGGTCAAAAGTTCAAATCTGCACCGGGAAGATTTTAAACAGAAAAATTACCTTGGCTCCTAGGCCAACCTTGACTAAAATAGGTAACAGCTAATGTCCTGTGAAGCAAAGTCAGCCATAGTGTTTTTTACCACATCATCCCCTGAGTGCTGCTTGGTCTATTAAAATCATGAGTCTTAGACGAAACGCCATGTGAGGAACTGGCATAAAAAAAAGGTTCTTCACTTTTAAGTTTTGTGTTCTCAACAAGTCATTAACTAATGATTTCATTATACAAAGCATAACAGTCTAGTTGTGCTCTGTTTTCAAAAAAGCCTTTCTTGAATACTTCCAACAAAGGCAAAACAGCTCAGAGAAGTGTTTTCAGTTCTAAAGAGACTATTTTGAAAGGGATTACTGCATTTCAGATCTCTAGGTGAATAACTAGGTTTTTTTCTAATCATAAGGTCATAACTTTAGACCTTTAGATCCAAAATGCCTTACTGCCAAATAATGGTTATCTGGAGCAAATTTGGAACCCTCTATGAGCTGCTCATCCTTTGCACATTTGAAGACTTTCCTAATTATACTATAAGCATGATAATTTAACATGTGCTATGGAACAGATAAACTATCGAACTATTGCCCTGATCAGTCATGCAAGTAAAATTCTACTAAAAATTATAATGAGAAGACTGCATAAGAAAACGGAAGAAGAGATTAATGTAGCTCAGGCTGGATTTAGACAGGGAAGAGGAACAAGAGATCATATATTCAACATGCGTTTAATAATAGAGAAGTGTAGAGAATTTAATGTAAATCTGTTCTTATGTTTTGTGGATTATTCAAAAGCATTTGACTGTGTACAACATCAAAAGCTTTGGGAAATCATGAGGAATATGGGCTTTCCATCACATATAGTGCAGCTCATTAAAATGCTCTATCAAGACCAACAAGCAGCAGTCAGAATAGATGGAGAGACATCAGACTGGTTTGGCATCAAGCAAGGAGTCCGTCAGGGATGTGTGCTGTCACCATATTTGTTCAACCTGTACGCCGAAAATATAATGAGAAATGTAAGAGATGATATAAACAAGGAACAATATGATGCCCTAAACATCGGTGGTCATGAAATACCAGAAATTCGTTATGCTGATGATACAGTATTACTATCAACATCACAAAATGGTTTAGAAAACTTATTAACCTCACTCCAAAGAAATAGTGAAAATCATAACTTATTTCTTAACATAGCAAAAACAAAGATAATGCATACAAACAAAACTGCCATGGAGAAGGAAATATATGTTAATGAGGAAAGATTGGAAGTGGTGGAAAATTTCGAATATCTTGGGTCACTGGTTACCAACAATGGTGACACAGTGAAAGAAATTAAACGGCGACTATCAATTGCTCTTCAAAGACTAAAACAACTGAATAAATTATGGAATTGTACAGATAGAATTACAAAGGTCAGATTTTTAAGAGCATGCATCTTTCCCATTGCAACATACGCCTGTGAGACCTGGACACTTACTAAACAAGCGGAACAGCGCATAAATGCATTTGAATATAAATGTTACAGACAAGTTCTAAGAATATCTTGGGTAAAGAAAAGAACAAATGCATCCATACTTCAAGAGCTGAATATTGAAGAGGGTTGGCTAGTAAAGACAATAAAACAAAGAAAATTGAAATATTTTGGTCACTTGAAACGTCATGGAAGTCTCGAGAGAACAATAATGGAGGGGTATATGCCTGGGAAGAGAGGAAGAGGAAGGCCAAGGAGAAGATGGGTGCAGGATGTGGCAGATGATCTCCAGATGGGTGTATCAGACGCAGGACATCTTGCTCATGATAGGAAGGTTTTCCGGAGGGTTGTTATGGCAGCGAGGTTCCGCGAGGGACATGCTACTGAATGAATGAATGAATGGAACAGATAAGTTCATAAAAAGATAAAGTTCCAACTTTAAACAGAAAAATGAAAATAGAAACAATAAAGTAGATAAATGCAGCAGAAATAACAAACAAAGAAGAACAAAGTCTATGTATAGAATTATAAAGTAGTAACACCATACTTTTAAACAAATGGTGATTCTCTGGTGAATGGGTGAATAAATCTGCCAACACAGGAACCACGTCGTGAATCTGTCGCTCTCGTAAATACTTATTGAGGACGTCTGAGAATCTTTTGTACAACTCCTTGTTTAGTACAGCTTTCACCTGAGAGTTTGAAATAAACCCAAAAAAAAAATATTTTATTTTGTGTAGTCACACAATAATGATAAGACATTTTTTTAAAAATGCAGACGGCACATATTATCACAAAATGGTATAGAAAAAGCGAATTTTTTAGTACAGGGGCAGATATCACAGCCCAGCAGCAAACTGCAACACAACAGGCCAAGTGATCTTTTAAGGGTTGAGAAAAAGGAAGATATTTTGCTGCCATATACTAGAAAGACCACTGATCACTGGCATCATGAGAGCTAATAGACTGAAATGGTTGGGGCATATTGAAAGAATGTCAAATGACAGAGAAGTAAAAACTATTCATAAAAGAGATGAATGGTCGTAGACCACAAGGCAGACCAAGAAGAAGATTCAGAGATAATGTCCAGACAGACCTACAAACACTTGGTGTCACCAACTGGAAAGAGAAGGCCAACCAGAGAGATTTGTGGAGGCGGGCGATATCTGCAACAATGAACCTCAAGGGCTCGGAAGAAGAAGAATACTAGAAAGGTTTTGGAGACAGGAGTTAAGAAAATTTATTTTACCCTTATAACAAAACAAAACATACAAAATACACACACAAACAAAACATCGCAAGCCTTCAGGGAACTGGGAAGCAAATGGATAGAGAGATACGCCTTAATTAGAGCCAATGTGGATTATCAGTTTCCTACACCAAAAAAATACATGTGTTTGGCCAACTTCATGGGTACTGACCATTTCTATCAATGACTAGCTGCAATTCTGGTAGCAACTATTGGTGCTGCCACCTCTAGTAGCTGTCTTATGTATTTACTGGGCATGCCAGGACTAACAGTTTGTTCACTAGTGTTTAAATGGGACAGTGAAGGGCATTCCATGTGATTTTCACTGGCAGGAACAGAGCAGTTTTAGGATGAAGCTGAAAGCTCAACTACCAAGTACTGACTCCACTAAAAACTCCATGAAGATATCATGACTCTAAAATTAGCTATTACTTTTATTGTTTTGTTATCTATACAGATGATGGATTTGTTTCGTGGTATGGGACGTCTCAGGTCGACCCAGCCTAAAATGGGTACCAGGATGGGCTGTCCTAGGAAAGTAAAGACAGCCGGCGTAATGCTGACCACATTACCCACAGAGTGCTGATGGTCTGTAAAAATATGGGGCACTCTTCCCATATGCCAGATACGCCTAAAGGCGTGGAAAGAGATCTTTATTTTACTCTTTTTTAAAAATCTTTACATATGGCTCAGTAATTAAGGGGTGCGATCTGTGTGGGCATACACAATGCAGGTGAATAGAAAGACAGCAAAAGATACAAGTTAGGCATTCAGTTTAACTACTTCTAGTATGATGACCGAGACAGCAGCTGTCACAGGGGCACTTACTCTGGCAGAACAGAAAGTAACTCACACACTGATAGTGACAGACTCAATGTGCATGCTTAAGAAGATCCAAACTGGCAAAGTCAGACTATAAAGGATTCACAGCATCCAGAAATCCTGCCTCAAGAATGTATCTTGGCTGTACTTGCCAGGACTCGCCACAGTGAAAGGAAAAGAAAGCCATTTCTGCAGTAGTTAGTGCAGGAAGAAGTATGGACAGGGCAGACATACTTCATCCCAGACATGTTGAGACATAAGAGTCAGAGAGGATGAGCTGCCTGTTGGGAATAGGTATTACATGATCCAAAGCATGCAGAAACCCGATGCAGACTAAAGAAGTAAGATATGCTGAACAACTCCTCCTGGGTTTGTTGAGCATGGAGATAGATGGCTGCTGCATTCGAGGATGGAGCACAAATGGGTGGAACTGCTGTAATAGGATATCGATACGGATAACAAGTAACTCAAATTATTTTATTAAGGCGGAGAGCAGTGTGAAAGATTTAGTAGAATGAAGTAAAAGCTTCTCCTTTTGTTTCTGTTTTTGTCTTTGAGAACAGATCCAATGCTCCCACCCAAGCATACCGTAAAAGGTCATTAATAGGGCTGTACCGAATAGTGATTTTCCCTATTCTGCCGAATACGAATAGTGGGACCAACTATTCGGCCGAATACGAATACGAATAGTGTATCATCATCATCAGGTGCCTTGCGGACTAGTGTTGGCGATTTTGCCTCGCCACAATCTGCGATCTCCTGCAACATGTATCAGTTCGTGTGCTGACACACCTCCATGACATGCAACAAGACTGTCAAGAATCTTCTCTCGTTGTCTTTTTCTATCTCTCCTTCCACAATTCTTTCCAGTGGTCGCCACATGTTCCATTTTCGCTCTTCTTATAAGATGGCAGAAAAATGATGTCTCCTTCTGATGTCTGTGATTGGTTGTCTTCGGGCTCCCGCCTCTTTCAAAACCTAGTGGTTGCTTTTTTTTAGGCTGTCCAAGGTATTTTAAGCATTGTTCTGTAAAACCACATCTCTGAGGCCTCAAAAAAATGGTTTGGCCTGGCTACCTATTGTCCAGGACTCATAGCCATTTGTTAAAACTGGATGTATGTAGCAAGCAAGACAAAGATATATTGCATAAGATGTTCTTTTTTTAAAAATAAAATAGTTTTTGCCTGTCCTATTTTGTTTTTTACTTTAGTAATGCATCTTTCATCTGATTTTATCCATGTGTCAGATTCGCATTTAAATCATCGTTCGTTCTGGCGTTCGTTCGATGTAATTTAAATGCACCTCCATATTCTCGTTCGCAATATCTTCAATTTGTTTTGGGAAAAGACACCCCGAAAGAACGAAAAAAGGCATGCTCTATCTTTCTCTCTCTCTCTCTCTCTCTCTCTCTCTCTCTCTCTCTCTCTCTCTCACACACACACACAGATACACTTTCAAGTTTCTTCATGCCTTCTTTACCACAACAGTAGCGTTGCCTAAATCTGTCATAGCGGGGAAAACTGCAACCCGGTTGCGTGGTAACAGCGCCTGCTGACTCCTAGGCATCGCAGCAGAGGTTCTATAACCGTATGCGTATGCCAGGGGTGCCGCGGCGAAAATCAAGAAAAGTCGGCTATAAATTGTGACATTATTAATGAGAGAGTTATTTCAGTCCATCGCAGTGTATGCAGAAATCACTATTCGTATTTGGCCCGACCGCCACTATTCGGCCGAATACCGAATAGCTATTAGGTCCACTATTCGGCCCTGAAGGGAATATTCGGTACAGCCCTAGTCATTAATAATCGATTTGATAAATCAGATGTGTTGAGCTGAAAGGCTCAGATATCACAGTCTAGCTATAAATCACAAAACAACATACTATAATAGCTTTTAAGGGCGAATATAGAAAAAGAATAAGTTTTCATACCTCTGTAATATAGCTCAGTGATGTCTCATGGGCCATCTTGCTTTTTGTCTGTTCTATTTTTGTTCTCATTTCTGTTGCAGAGGCAGAAACAATTATTTCTGTTGGTGAATTCTCCTTAAAATATACAAACAAAAATCATTTTCAAAACTGCTTATATTTTGTTCAAATATACTGTGTTTTCTTGAAAATAACCCTAACCTAAAAATAATCAAAAGCAAAATTTTCTGGGATGCTAGTAATATAAACCCTACCCAAAATAAAAGCTATAGTTAAGATCATAAGCCAGACAGTTCTTCCCCTGAAACACACAACGGATGTACTGAATTATATTTATTTCAATACTAAAAAGACCATGGAGAAGATGGTCATGGAGTCTTTCCTTTTTTCGTTCCCACTATCAGTGGTTTTCAAATGAGAAGGCCACATGCCTTTATGAAGTCTGTGGTGCGATGTATGTCTTCCACTGTTCCAAACAACTTGGTTTCTATTGGAATGCCAACCCACACAATGGATGTGACTATCTATACAGATGGCTCTGTGTTGAGGAGCAGACGGAGTGCATGGGGGTTCATAGCAAAAGCGAATGGACGTCACCTAGTGCAGCAAAGCCTGGCATATAATATCACAACGTCTAGTTTGAGAAAGGAGGTGGTGGCAGTCACTGCTGCATTCCACTGGCTTCAGAATCTGCTGTTAACACATGCCGTGATTGTAACTGACTCACAGAGCATGTTGAGAAAGATGCAGACAGGTATGCTCCCTGCAAAGTGGCAAGCATCACTTCAGAGGTCCCGGTAGTTAGCATCCTTTGGATATTCTCTCCAGGTCATGCCGCTGTGTTGGGAAATGAGCAGACCGATAAACTGCCCAGTTCTGCGCCACTGTGGTGAAATGATGTATGACAAGCTAATGTTGTAAAGGCGTTCTGGGAGTGAGTGAACAGTGCAGAAGCGCAAAATGACCATTACGGTCTGAGGAGAATGGCGTAGCGAGACGTTGCCAGAGGATCTGGCAGATGCTCAACACTCAAGGGAAAGGCGAAGACGGACATACAATCAGACAGTTACTGGTGCCATTGGAATTGGAACTCTTCGTTTGCTGCTGAAGATGGGGAGGGAGCGCTTATGGGAGTGTCATAAGTGCTATGATGTTGATTATTAATTCAACATTCTTCTTCTTCTCAGCGTTCACCTGCTGTAAGCTCCAGTGAAAAGTTTTGGTTGTTCGTCCACTTCTGATTGGTCTTGTTCCAGAACTTGATTTCTATGTATACATTAATTTTATAAAAATCTGGCTCATCTATATGCAGACGGTTGGTCCCTCACCACTCAGGCAGATGCACACCAACTTCGAAGGAAACTCCTTAATTAGTTGCTTTTTACGACATGCCTGTTAGGGAGGCCGTGAGTCTATCTTTTTTTTTTTTTACTAAACTAAAGATGGGGCTCACGAATTCCATTCTTCTAATAACAGGATTTTTAAAAAAAATTGTATTACCAAGACTAAACAGCAACTCTCAGATAAGCAGGATTTATTTCTCAGTATGGGACTTACTTTTAGCTTGATTTTTTTCTGCTTTCCTGGCAGTTTTTTCACTGGAGGCTGATAAGTTGGCATCTGAAACTGAGACTGTAAAACAACAACAAAACTGAATAAATTACACAAGTGAAGTGCACACCATTATATAGTTATATAAATAAGTAAAAGAAAGTCGGGACATTCATTTCTTGCCATCAAACCATGAACATTGCCACTGTTAACTGTATATGTTGAATCCTCCCCACCAAAACAAAAGACGAGAGACATACTGTTTTTGGGAACAGTATGTTGTTGTTGTAAGTTTGCTTTCTAGACAGTAGTAATCCCCTGCTGACAAGTGGTCTGTCTTCCTGAACAGTGAACCACTGTGATCTTAACACTACGAGCGCAGTGTGTCCATCAAAACTGCAATATCTATTGGCCCTAATAACAATTAAACATAACACAACCGCATTACGCCCTACTTTCACGATAAACAATGTATCCTGTATTGGGAATGTGCACAAAATAGCAGTCCATGACAAGAGAATGTAACGATCCAAAAGAAAAATCACATTCACGTCCCAAAGAATCAACTAAGAATTGTGATATTTTCAATAACAAAAATACAGTATTAAAAAAGTACAGGGAAATCAATCGAAACTACATAATTGCAACAAACAAATACTTTAGGCACTAATGTTTACCTGTGACTGATGATTCTGAGTACTTGTTTCTGGTGCCCCAACAGAAAGATCCTGAAAGGAAAAACAGCAAAATGAACTACAAGAAATAAAAAACAGAAATCCTGATGATTTTCAACTACCTATTTCAATAACTGACAAGACAAGTAAATGCCATGGACTGTGTTGTGTGGAGGGGGTACATCAGGAAGGGAATGAGAATGAAAGAAGAAATGAATGCAGAAAGGGTGAGAGCTTAGTGTCTGAGAAGAAACAGATTAAACACAAATGTTGACAACAACGGTCATGAAATCCTATGCTATAACAGTGGAAGACTTTTCTTAACATGCCATCAGCCTGGGCTGTGAATCTCATGTCTCCTCATATGTAACGCAATGTAACACTATCATCTGGAAAGAGGCAAATATGCCAGTCTTAACAGACAAACAGAACTTTAATTTTTCCTCCTCCATGATACTTTCTGAAATGTTAACACAAAGTGACTCAACCAGTCACTATTCTAAAGTGAAAATCCAACAGGAGAACATTCTGGAAACCTTGTTAAACTCGAGGGGATCAACTTATTTGCACCATATTTTATCCCATATGGCTTGGTCTCTGTCCACAGAAGGGCTAACCGCCCACTGAGAGCGTCTCAAAAAGCATAAACACCATAGCTCTGATGACTATCCTCGGGGTCTCTGTAAAAATTGCACTAGTGAACCAAACGGCATAGCCGTGAAATGAACATAGGATATTAAGAGCGCAAAGGAAATGGCTTGAAACTTCGCCAGAGACCTCATGAAAATTCTGTTAAACTATGTACACAGTTATATTAGGACACCCAAAGGTAATGAAGCTACCTGCAGTCCAATATGGGTAGGTAATGATAGTGTGATTGATAAAAGATGTGTGGAAAAAGAGACGGAGGAAGGCAACGCAAGAAGGTTCTTAAGACCCTTTTCTCTTGGCAGAGAAGGGGGTCGGCACACAAACTGACACAAGCTGGTGAAGATCCCAGACAGCAGAGGTACTTAATGATGATGAATGGTTGTGTTGCAAAGAGGATTTTCTTCTTTTTGCTGCTGTCCATATTTTTTTCTGCGAGCCTTACTTCACTACTGGCCTCATGACAAACCTTGGTCTGGTACTGCAGCTGACTTTGATCTCTGGTAGATAAGAAGTGAAGTTGCGACCACAATCCTCTCAGCCGCCCCGTGTCGGTTCCAGGGCCCTATTATAGGGAAAACAAAAATAGACCCACTGCCTAGCCAAGCATGGCGTAAGAGTCGACTAATAGGGAGTTTCTATTGAATTCGGAGTGCATCTTCCAGAGGCAAGGAACCAACAATCTGCACACAAATGTCAGATCTGTAAAATGGAGGCACACGCAACACTCAAGTTTTGGAACAGGACTGCAGTCCAGTAATGGACAAACAACCGGAACTTTAAAAGTTTACAGCCGGTGAATGAAAAGAAGAAAGAAGAACCCCTAAGCCAACAGGTTTCTCTCTCTCACACACACAGCGAGCGAGCGAGATAGAGAGAAAGAGAGAGCAGAGAGAGAGAGCAGAGAGAGTGAGAGCAGAGAGAGAGAAAGAAAGAGAGAGAGAGAGAGAGAGAGACAGAGAGAGAGAGCATAAAGAGAGAGAGAGAGAGAGAGAGAGAGAGAGAGAGCAGAGAAAGAGAGAGACAGAAAGAGAGAGAGAGAGAGAGAGAGAGAGAGAGAGAACAAAATAAAGCAAACACTGAACTCCCCACTAACCTCTGTAGACTCCAAAGCCTCAAGCAACGATCTTTTCTTGGACTTTTCAATCAACTTTGGCTTGGCATACTGCTTGCACAATGTTTCCTCTTCCTCTGAGAAATCAATAGTCAACAATCTAATACAAATGATACTGGGTTAAACCACAAGTTAACAAAATGTACCTGGTCGTATCGTATGTTTAAAAGGTTTTTTTAATCACTTGTGTTTGGAGCCCCATTTGAGTGGTGGTGGTGGTGGTGGTGGGGGTTGGGGGGAGGTGTGTGTGGTACACACTCATTGCCCATTAACAAACCTGTTGTAAAAAGCCACTGAAATCGATTATGCTGGGCGGAAAGGCACTGATGTTGCAGCCTAGCTGTAAACCACAACGTTCTTTTAAGGGCTAACTCAGAGGTAAAAGACAGGGTGTTTAAAATAAAGGTGATGGGATCAGCTTCACTGAATCAAATTTTTACCTCAAGTGGCTCAGTCTCTCTTTGCAGAGCTCCTTGTCGCCCGCCAGCAACATGGTTATGATTCCGTGACCTGCATGTAAATCTAGGATCAAAGCACGCGCCACTAACAACACACTGCTCCTGACCCAACTTAATAGGTCTCGGCATCTGCACAAAGCTGATCTGCACAAAGCTATCTGCACAAAGCTGATCTGCAAAAAGCTGATCTGCACAAAGCTGATCTGCACAAAGCTGATCTGCACAAAGCTGATGTGCACAAAGCTGATGTGCACAAAGCTGATCTGCACAAAGCTGATCTGCACAAAGCTGATCTGCACAAAGCTGATGTGCATAAAGCTGATCTGCACAAAGCTGATCTGCACAAAGCTGATGTGCACAAAGCAAAAACTTCATCATAGTTCCAGCAACAACTCAGAATGATCTATGAAACACACACCCCCCCCCCCCCCCCATCCCCCCACCACAAAGTGATTAAAAATAGGACAACCAATAAATGCAAAGCACTGTTAATAAAAACTTGCAAAAAAAACATCCAGTGTCCAAATATCAATGTGATGGTTGACATTGTTTTGTCTTGATATCTAATATTTTGTGTGTGTCTGATGTTGGTCAAGTTACAAAGTACAATGGAATACTGGACACTAAAAATATGTTGGTATAACAGACTCTTACAAGTACAAATGCAGCCAATTCCCCTACATCCTTAAGCTCCCCTTTCCTAGCACATGCACACCCCTCTTGAAAATTCCTTGCGTAACTAAGAGAAGCTGGTGTGTGTGTGACTGGCTATCTGATCCATAGAAATCTATCTGTAAAACCTAATACTCTACTAGGAGTTTACGGATAAAAGAAGAGATTTCTTTATGAGATTCTCACAGTGACTCGAAAACTTCCACATGGCAAGCTCCAGCTCATGCAGCAGAACCACACAAGCTTGTCATTTTAATGTCCTGGGTTGAGTTGAGTTAACATCCGAAATCACAACACTCAGGACATTCCCATAAATGATCTGCCCCCACCTGCAGCAGTCAGCAAAGCATTTCACTGCCGATGGTACCAGTAGCAGATTGATTCAGTCTGTCTTGAGTTTTATCTGTGTCGTGCTGGCCAGTTCCTTTAGTCACTCGATGCTAAACCATTCACTGTAATGATCCCTTCATGGCTCCGCATGGTCGACTTGCCTCCAAATCAACATGCTTTGTTTGTTTATTGTATTCTGTAAAGCTTATATATATATATTTATATTTGTTTTTCCAAATTTGTTTTTACGTACAAGCGATACTATCAAACCATACTATCAACATTATTTTATTCCTATTAATTATTTCAATAATAATTTCAGTCAATATGGCTAACAGGAAGGTTTACTGTTTTTAGTCATGGCAAGATTTTACTTCTGACAATAGTTAGCCATTGTATTCTCCTCCATACGTAGACTAAAATGAAATAGTGCCGTAGCTCAGCAACGAGTGCATGGTGCAACACTGTTAGCTGCAAATGTCATTTGGAATGCTTTTCAAATGTGACCAAAGCAGTTTGTGTTGTAAACTGCAGATTCAGAAACTGGTGAGTGGCCTGCTATCAGAGATCACTGCCAGTGCCTTAAGCACTTAATTCTGCAGCTTCCATTGATGATGGATTGCATTTCTACTGTTGGACTGTTTGTGTTGGCACTTCTAACAGCCACCTTACGCATTTAATTTGTATGTGTATATGCCTTTGACTTTATTGAGACAGTCTAATCAATGTTCTCACAAAGGACAGTGATGGACATTCTGTGTGGTTTTCACTGACACATGAACGAAGCAACTACGGGGTGACCCGTCTGCTATGAAGTTAGAATTGTGATTACCTGATTCATCTTCTTCAGCATTCCGAGCCCTTGAGGTTAATAGCTGCAGATATCACCCGCCTCGCAATGTTAGACGGGCCTGCGTGCTCAATTCTTAACCCTTTTAAAACAAAGTTTGTTCGTTCGTTCATTATCTCCTTGGCCTTCTCCCTACAGTTGGTGACACCAAGTGTTTGTAAGTCTGTCTGGACATTATCTCTCCATCGTCTTTTTGGTCAACCTTGTGGTCTACGACCATTCAGCTCCCTCGTGTATACAGTTTTTACCGCTCTGTCATCTCTTTCAACATGCCCCAGCCATTTCAGTCTATTAGCTCTCATGATGCCAGTGATCAGTGGTGATTTAAACAGATTACAAATCTGCCTGGTTACTGGTTACCTTAAATACTTTTTTGTTTTTGTTTTTTTTGTGTTACTAAATTAAAAAAAATTAAGCATGCAAACAAACCTGTCGAATTTCTCAAACCAGGTATATGGCATGCCACACTGCTTGCACGTTCATATTCCACAGCAACATGGTTACGGCTCTGTGACCTGCGGGTAAAGCTGGGGTCAAAGCTTGCACCGCTGACAACACTCTGCTCCTGGCCACTCTTGACAGGCCTCGGCATCCCACACGGAAACTGAAACAGAGGAGCCGATGTATACAAATTACAATTTTACTGATCAGACAACCAACTTCTTCTTCTGTGCGTGCTCTCTTAAAACTGTGGTTGATAAGTTGTGGATTACAGCATGGCCGAAACATCTGACTGTTATCCTGTCTGGGTGGGTCACAAGTGTAAAATTTTTTAAAAAGTTGAGAAATACTGCTCCAGCCACTATGCCACTGCAGCTCCTAAAACTGAAAAAGAAGAAAAAAGACTGAATGCCTTGATCTGTCTCAAAGTTATCATGCTAATAAACAACCCTTTTCCCTAACTGTAGTTGCATTTAAGGCTGGGTAGATCTAGAAACCAAACCCAAAAACAAATTTGAACACATTCAGATCGTAGGTGAGCGACTATCTGCTACACGACATCTGTCCAATGCTAATAAACAAAGATCTTTACTCACATTCTTCTCAGCTTCTTTGAAAAATGCAATGACATCTTTCAAAGCCTGGCCAAAAGTTTCGTAAACCTGTGCCTGCTCTCTCACCCAAGACGGCAGGGAATTTCTATTCTCAAATGATGAAAACCTGAAAAGATATCACAGTATCACACAGATTTATCAGGGTTAAAACAGAAAGAGTTAATGATCATGTATGTGTGTATAATAAAAATGTGTGTGCTTGTGTATAAATGTGTTTTTATTGTTGTGACCACCCAAGAAATGTTAATGTTGAAGTGTGTATGTATGTGTGTATAATAAAAATGTGTGTGCTTGTGTATAAATGTGTGTTTATTGTAGTGACCACCCAAGAAATGTTAATGTTGAAGTGCATGTAAGCAGGTTCCGTGTTTGTATGTGAATGTCTTCAAGTTTACTCGTGCCTGCACAAAACAGACAGACTTAACCCTTTCACCTCAGGAGCAGTAAAAATTTAAAAAAGTCATGACCGCATTAGAATCCCGGAAAAATATCTGTAAACAAAATAATAATGTTACATGTCACTAGTGAATTTGTTTTCCAAATAAATAGATATATGCAAGCAGTAATCAATAAACACGAACAGTGTTAGGCCTTTAATAAAATACATCCTAGAAAAAGCAATATATCTGGTCACTCATACTGTGTCCCCGTGACCTCTTACGGGAAACATCAACTGGGTTTTTAAGCTATTCTGCTCAAAGGAAAACTCCCTAAATGCTGTTGTTAGTTAATGCATTCATAAAATGATCTTAAACATTTGCGCAGGTGCAACAACAGCCAACAGCATTAACTATCGGTCTCGTACACAGGTAACTATAAACAAGTAGGAAAAGTGACATTTATGCGGAACTGGACCCAACTGGAAGTGTCCGTTTTCAGTTTCATGGGGAAAAACTGGTAAAACATAATCAATAATGCAGAACTCAGGGAAATAATAAAATATATTTTAGTGAATCAAGTAGTGAGGAGAAGACATCTGCACTGGAGAGGAGAAGACATCTGCACTGGAGAGGAGAAGACATCTGCACTGGAGAGGAGAAGACATCTGCACTGGAGAGGAGAAGACATCTGCACTGGAGAGGAAAAGACATCTGTACTGGAGAGGAGAAGACATCTGTACTGGAGAGGAGAAGACATCTGCACTGGAGAGGAGAAGACATCTGTACTGGAGAGGAGAAGACATCTGCACTGGAGAGGAGAAGACATCTGTACTGGAGAGGAGAAGACATCTGTACTGGAGAGGAAAAGACATCTGCACTGGAGAGAAGACATCTGCACTGGAGAGGAGAAGACATCTGTACTGGAGAGGAGAAGACATCTGCACTGGAGAGGAGAAGACATCTGTACTGGAGAGGAGAAGACATCTGCACTGGAGAGGAGAAGACATCTGCACTGGAGAGGAGAAGTCATCTGTACTGGAGAGGAGAAGACATCTGTACTGGAGAAGAGAAGACATCTGCACTGGAGAGGAGAAGACATCTGTACTGGAGAGAAAAAACACAAAAGCATGGGTGGTGAAATGCATGCACACACACACACACCCATACACTCACACACCCACATACCTTCACACACACATAATCACACCCCATTCATCCACATAGAAAGCTACATACCCACACAGACACGCACTCACTTAACACACCCACGTACCTTCACACGCACATAAACACACCCCATTCACCCACATACAAAGCCACATATCCACACACATTCCATACACATACAAACATACAGATATAAACACACAGACACACCCATAGAAACAAATGCAGACACATACACACAAACAGACATACGCGCACATACCCAATCACACATGCAGATACACACAGCCATGCGACACACACACAAACCTGCATACACACACGCAGACACACACAGACACATATGCACATATACACCCAGACTCAAACACACACACAATCGCAGACACACGCGCGCGCGCTGATGCTCACGCAGATACACACACACACACACACACACACACCCACACGCAGACATAAATATACAGTCACACACGCAGATAAAAATACACACACATGTTGACACATCCAGAGACACTACACACAGAGACATACACAGATATATACACACAGACACGCATATACACAGGCAATTACCCAGATACACAAACACATACAGGCACATACAAAGACACACTCACAAACACAACAAAGACACACACATACAAACACACGCAGGCAAACACACAGCTGAGGAGAAGACATCTGTACTGGAGAGGAGAAGACATCTGCACTGGAGAGGAGAAGACATCTGCACTGGAGAGGAGAAGACATCTGTACTGGAGAGGAGAAGACATCTGCACTGAAGAGGAGAAGACATCTGTACTGGAGAGAAGACATCTGTACTGGAGAGGAGAAGACATCTGTACTGGAGAGGAGAAGACATCTGTACTGGAGAGAAGAAGACATCTGTACTGGAGAGGAGAAGACATCTGTACTGGAGAGGAGACATCTGTACTGGAGAGGAGAAGACATCTGTACTGGAGAGGAGAAGACATCTGTACTGGAGAGGAGAAGACATCTGTACTGGAGAGAAGACATCTGTACTGGAGAGAAGACATCTGTACTGGACAGGAAACATACAGGGGAAAATCTTACTATAATAACAATACAATAGGCATGAGGTGGTTGGGAGCACCTGCTCAAATAGAATCTGTATGAGCCTGTGGTATCTTCACGTTTTCATCATTTGAGAATAGAAATTGGCTGCCATCATTAGTGAGGGATCAGGCACAGGTTAACGAATCTTTTAGCAAGACTATGAAAGACGTCCTCGCATTTTTCAAGGAAGGTGAGAAGAGTGTGAGTAAAAAATATTTGTTTATAAGTAGGGCTGTACCGAATATTCGCTTCAGGGCTGAATAGTGGACCTATTGACTATTCAGTATTCGGCCGAATAGTTGCAGTCGAGCCGAATACAAATAGTAGTTACCTTACACCTGTTCTACATACACGGCCTTAATACTGACAACATGGAATGATTGGTTTTGTTGAAAGTTAATGCAGCTTTCATGCATTAACTAATCTGTCAGTGACAATTTACAAGTTTAGTTACTTGTTATAATACTTAGGATTTTTTCATTCCTAGTTATTAGTTACCACAGACTGACTGAAGGATGCAAAACATAAAATGTGTCTAAATGTTTACTATTCTGTACGAACACTAACTAGACATGACAAAAATGTAAACTCCGGCCACATTCAAGTCGATAATATGAAAATCAAACGAACGGAAACATAAAACTACTTGGGTGCAAATGTCAACTGCTCCAACAGGCTGAGAGAAGAAATACAATCTAGAATACAATCTAGAAATAAAGTATACTATGCCCTTCAACGTCTGCTAAAGTCAAAGTGTCTGTCTCACAACACCAAGATCAAAATATATAAAACGTTGATAAGACAAGTCGTTTTAAATGGCTCTGAGACTTGAAGCAGAAATAAAAAAGATGCAGCCTTATTACAGGTTTTTGAAAACAGTCTTACAACAAATCTTTGGGACCCATCTGTTGTGAGATGAGCAGCCACCATACTCAGTGGACGAGTCGGGACTTGATTTCCCTCGCGCTCAGTAAAATTTAAAACTTAGACCCGTCCGGAAGGGTATATAGTCCCTTATATTGATCTATACCTTTATCTGGTAAAATATTTATTTCTAGACCCTCCAGTTGCTTTGATAAATCTTCATTTTCAAACTTGCAACTGTAGGTTGGCAAATTCTGGTATTTTATTCAAAAATTCCTGTAAACCAGTTTACTCCTTGTTCATGAACACATGGGACTTTTTTTCTAAGCGTAGTTTGAAGCGGGCCTTTTCTGCCTGACTGCCTAGAAGAACAGATGTTCTAAACGGGGCCTATCTATGCTTTGAGGAGGCGGCCTTTGGTATCTAGGACATTTCCTAAGCTTGGGTAAGTTGATTAAGGTTGGCTACTGCTGCAGAGAAGGCAGAGTTAGCTATGTGATCGCACAGAGTTCGACCGTTCCTGATGTCCAGAGATTGGGCTCCGAACATTAAACCTTTCCCTGTGCAGACTAAATAGTTTGTGCTCTACATAACCCACACCATTTGTAAAGATATTAAACCCTACAAGTAATTATTCTATAACCAAACGTAGGATTTGTATCGACTAATAGACACAGGTACAACTGGGTCATCTTTGGCCGGCTTGTTGCTGTGAAGCTGTCCTCAGTGTTCTAATGTGGAGTGTCTAGTGTGGGACTGTCTTGAACATAACAACAGAGTGACTGAACATCCGGCCAGTTCAAGAAACCAGGGATTCAGATAAGTGTGGTCAATCATGGGTTTATTGCCAGGCTTCACTATTAAATGTCCACACTGATCATAAGGATGAGATAGGCAGACTTTGGAACATTCATACACGTTCAGTCAATTCAAGATCGAGTTTGAAGTTTTGGTCCGTCTTATCACTCTGGGTTCTTGAAGTTCTTTGCTGATTCTTATGTAATGTATGTGTTACACTTATTACAGTATTTCTAAAGTTTCACTATTGACTGGAGTGTCACTCATTCATTGTTCTTAGCTGTCTAAAATACATGTATGTTCAATTAAATATTTTCATCTGTGTTAACATGGTTATGCTAGTAGACTATCATAACCTGGGGGGCTATCTTTTTATAGTAGTGGGGGTGTCCAGCCAAGTGTGCCTAGGAATATTATATATTTTGTAGTGCCAAAATTTGAGTTGCCCTACTCCTGAAATAAGTTGAGCGTATATTGGCCACGGGGCATCCCTTAGACCAATACGAGCCAACGACTCAACATAATTATTTCAGAGTGCTGTTGGTTCTTAAGGAGAATTCCTTAAATCAGGCACGCGACAGGAGCGATATGTGACACCATCAAAGATGCTAACAGCGGGGAATGGAGAGTGAGAAGCAACAACGTAACACATAATCTGTTTAAATCACCTTTGATCACTGACATCATGAGAGCTAACAGACTAAAATGGTTGGGGCATATTGAAAGAATGTCAGATGACAGAGAAGTAAAAACTGTATACACCTGAGAGAGGAATGGTCGTAGACCATGAGGCAGACACAAAAGAAGTTCGAGAGATAATGTCCAGCCAGACCTGCAAACAACTGGTGTCACAAATTGTAAAGAGAAGGCCAGCCAGAGAGATGAATGGAGACAAGTGATATCTGCAGCAGTAAACCTCAAGGGCTCAGAATGCTAAAGAAGAAGATTACTATTCTGTGCTACTAATATTTTTAAAGATATATTTTATACACTATACACTTTTCGTATTCGTATTCGGCCGAATTGTTGGTCCCATTATTCATATTCGGCCGAATAGTAAAAATCACTATTCGGTACAGCCCTACTTATAAGTATTGGCCAGACGCATGGTGTAGAAGAAGAAGAAGAAACAAGACATGATTCTGTATACCACAAAAGGTTAGTTAGTTGAGATTCTAACATCACTACAAATGGGTAGCCCCATAACTGCTCCATTCCAGACCTAGTGGAAACAAAACAAAATTCCTCTCACTGCCCCATTTGAAAACTAATGAAAAACTTGTCAGTCCCAGCAAAATCTTGAAGCCTGCACATGCAAGTAAAAATGCATAAGGCATCTGTTAGATATCCAATTCTTATTTGTTGCACATCAGAATTGCAGCTCACTGTTGTCGCAAATGGTCAATCCCACTGCCGCCATACAAGGAGACCACTACAGATGACAGAACAGTTGAAACAGACTTTGTGTATAAAACATAAGGTAGTTGATTTACCTTGTATCACAAAGAACAATGGCACCAAAATCTTTGTTGTGTCGAATAACACGCCCAATAGCCTGATTGACAGCACGTGTAGCTTGCTGCCTGTACCAAGTGTTTTCATTCAGTCCCTAAGTTATTGCAAAACAAACACATTTACGGCAAAAGCTCATAACATTGTCAAAATTAAAGCAAAGCAGTCTGGTATACGATAGGCAGAAGCTTATTTCAACCCTAAGTATGTCAGGATTGTGAAGCTAAAAAAAAAAAAACACACACACAGTGAATGGAAAATGTGAACCCAGCAGTTGAGCAAGATGTAGGAAGCCATCTTAGCAATCTTCCAGCAATCATCTACTTCTTCATTGCTTAGCCAAATGACACAGCTGCGCCGGTTAATAGCACAGCTGTGATATTTGTGCCTTTCAGCCAGTACATCCAACTTCATCGGACATTTGTTTATCAGCATAGCATTATTGGTTAATTTCGTGAGACACTTCACAGCCTCATTTGTGTGGTAACTTCTTTATCCTCTGATCCACAGGTGTCGTCTCTAGAGGTCTCATCTAGGGCAGCCACGTGCATCCTCAGAGAATAGCAGGGGCACAGGGGCAGAGCATGGCCATTCCCCGCCAAGGAGGCTTCGTTAAGTGCACAGAGGTCCATGGCACTGGTCCTGGATTCACCCAAGGAATTGCCACGTTCGGCATATGACTGCTTAATCTCAAATTCGTACACTAAACCTCCCAAACATCACAGGCTACACCCCTGAGGGATTCACAAAAAGCAGTCTGCAGATCTGAAACTTCAATGACTTATATAATACAAGAATTTTCTTCCTCTGCAAGTTAAACAGTCATAGCCAATATTGATTTGAATTATTGTGTTTTATGTACAGTTTTTAATAACCCGGTTGAATTAAAAATATAAATTGGACTTGTGACCTGAGACAGAATGAAACTTGGTCGTAAGTCGTGCAGGCCCTGTAGTCAGTCTTATGCTGATCCTTTCAAGTCACCTTGTACAACAAGCACAGGACGAAACAATACTACTAATCTTATCCTTTCCTTAAGGAACTCAGCAACACAATGGCAAAGAATAACACACATCAATTATTACCTTGAATTTGTGCTTATTTTCCCGGAGAAAATCCATCTTCAGCTGAACTCGTGGGTCAAATCTTGGCGGGAAAGGTAGACCAGTAATCATCACAGCCCGGCCGTTCGTATCAGCAAAATCTAATCCTTCGCTCACCTAAAATAATATATTTTGTATTCTGAATTTTGATGTGAATTTTTTTAAGTATATAGTATATGTCTCCAGACTATTTTAGAGGCGGACATGTAGAAGTTTCAACTGTGTCAGATCATATTGCACCATCCGGTGTCAAGGTTAAGCAAAGACAGCACAAGAGTCTCTATTTGTGTGCTTCATATATCATGCTTCCCTGGGTCTGATGTTCCTTCTGCCCACTGTTTACATCTGGGGTCTCTAAGGCAAATTTGTCAAGCCAATCGCCGTGCGTTCTGAACGTCGCTGGTTTGTTTTATGGCTGTGTCGTTTGGTTCACAGGAGCAATTTTTATTGAGAGTTGACTCCTCCGGCATGCTTGTTAGGGAGGCAGTGGGTCCATTCTTTTCCCCCACAATTTAGCAACAGAACTCACAGAGAAAGTTTATAAATAAAAACACAGAAAAAATGTAAATTGTAACTGCGAAATGACTGCGTCTGTTCAATAATATATGCAAAAGCAATGTTGCCTATTCATTTAAAATACAAAAATCAAAAACTTTGAATACAGTAGAACCTCGCTTAATGAGCACCTCTCATAACAAGTAATTTGCATAACGAGCAAAACAACCTGTAAAAAAAATGACTTGCTTAACGAGCGATGTTTCGCATAACGAGTGGCGAGGAGAGGGGAAGTCCTGAATTGTGCGCATGTTACATCAGTCTGTGTTTAGCACTCGTTCTAGTAGCATCGTAGTGTCGCTTGTGATCACACATTTTCTCAAACTTGTGTTACAGTGATATATGTACATGAATCCTCCAGGCCTACAAGATGACCTCCCTGAAGAATTTAAGTTCATAAAGATCCAGTTTCTGCCTCCCAACACCACTCCGTTACTCCAGCCCATGGACCAGCAAGTTATTTTTAACTTTAAGAAGAACTAAAGCACTCTTCGAGCATTGTTTTCAGGTGACTGAAGGGACCAACCTCACTCTCAAAGAGTTTTGGAAAAACAACTTCCACATCAATGCCTGCCTCAAGATAATCGACAAGGCGAGGAAAGGGGTTACCAAGAGAACCCTAACTACTGCTTGGAAGAAGCTTTGGCCGGAAAGCTAAGTCGATTTGTGACTTTGATGGGGTTCGAGACTGTACCTGTAGAACCTGTAGTCAACGAGATTGTGTCTTTGGCCACTATCATGGAATTGTAGGTGGATAACAGTGATATCGAAGAGCTTATGGAGTTGCATTGTGTTTCACAGCAAGAAGTTTTGGGGGAAAGTGTGTCAGAGGAGGCAACAGAAAAGCAACAATCTTCTGGCAAAATAAGAGAAATGCTGAAAGCATGGCAAACTGTTGCATCTTACATTGAGAAGCATCACCCTAATAAGGAAGTGGCTATGCGTGTTGGAAATTTATTTAATGATAATGCTGTGTAGCATTTTCGCCAAATTTTGAAGCGTCGGCAAAAACAAATGTCTCTGGACATATATCTGATTTTTAAAAAGAATTAGCTATGTATCATAATTATTTCAATTTTTTTTTCCTGCAAATCGATTCGCATTCCAGATGGGTTCGTTCCCCATTTGAAGAAAAGATGAAGATGATTCACTCTACTTAACAATATGTATATAATTTTCTTTGAAAAAAGGTTATACAAAGCATTTGTGAGTATTTTTTTCTCGACATGGAATGCATTATCGTATTTTACATTATTTTATTAGAGAAAAATTCTTTTGCACAACGAGTGTTTCGCTTAGCAAGTATGATTCTAGAATGAATTATGCTCGTTAAGCGAGGTTCCACTGTATATGGTAATCACCACCATGTGACATGCTGAGCAGCAGACCGTTCATGTTTCTCCACAAGCGTCTGTCATGTTTTCAGTCAACAACTGATTGTCTTTTGTGCCACTCTGTCAGCCTATCCGGTTTTCTCTCCCTTTGTCGGCCTGTGTCTCTAAAACCCAAAATCTTTTCAGCTGTCACAACCTTCTCCAGACCTTCTAGTCTTTTAAATTGAGCACACACACACAAATTATGACTGTCTAGTCCTGATATCTTCTCCTCCTTATCTTTGTGTTTAATGGCTGCAAACTCTGGTGAAAAGTTCTGGTTGTTCATCCATTTCTGGACTTCAGTGGTGTTCCAGAAATTGAGTTTTGCAAGTTAATCCGCTTTACATATCTGGCTCATTTGTATGCAGACTGATGGTTCCTCGGGAAACATCCTTTATGACTGGGGCAGAGAGACTATTCTATTTCCCCCCAACAATGGGGCCCATAAATCACAAGAGAGGTCAACAACTGATTGTCTTCTAAGCCACTCTGTTAGCCCATCTAGTATTTTCACCCTCTGTCGACCTGTCTCTAAAACCCTACATCTTTACAGTTGTCACAATGTTTTCCAGATGTTCTCATCTTTCACCAACCAAAGAAATAGTCCTGATTGTAATCCCAGGTCTCTATATTTCTGGCCTTTCTGCCGATCTGGATGTTAGTTTTATACAGAGCTCATCTGAATCTTAAGATAAACAAATTAACATGTATTGCCTTGAATTCACAACAGCAAAGAGAGTTAGGAGGATCACACACTAGACAACATAAAAATCAAAAGCTAGAGGTACCATACCAGGAAATCTTCATCTCTGTAGCAGTTGTTTTTATTAAAAAAAAAAAAAAAAAATCTTTGAATACATTATCCTCATCATGATCGTGTGTCATGCCGTAAGCCTAGGCTGTGATATTTTGTCATCACCATATGATTACCAGAATCACGGATCAGGTCAATGTTCCAGCCAGGTAGTTGGCTTCTTGCCTTTGATTTGCTCTCTTTTAATCATTTTTGCCAGTTCTCGAGTTCATTCCTTCTCACAACATGTAGAAATATATTGAGAGTCTATGTCTAATGGTTAGAAAAACTATGACTTTCAATTGTCTTGATCAGGAAGTGCTTTGTGTGTTTTTCTATTACTCCATGATATTCTTTGCTCTCTCCTCAAAAAACTACATCACTCTCACAAGTAAATGTTTTTTCAGTTTTTCTGTTTGTTTATGGTTCATTGTCACATATGCATACAACAAGGTCACTTTTGCCATGGTGACTCTTGCTCTAATTTCTGGGAGTGCATCTTGCATCAGAGGTTATGACTGTTCCAAGACAGTTGTTTCTACTGACCTGCTCAAGAATCTGTTCACATTAAAGGTAGAAAGTAGTTCTAGGTTGTGGCATACAAGGTTCTATGTCCATGTTTTCCTCATACTGCCTTTAATTTACAGACAATTCCTTGGTACACAATAATATGCGGCTGTGTCAATGCAAATACAACTAATAAATAGATAAATTATAATTTAAAACCTCTACAGAGCAAAGGAATTCTAAATTATAGTTTTAAAACCAAGTTAGGTATTTTCAGTTCTAATATTTACATTTTAACACAGGTAAGGGAAAGTTGGAGATCCATAAAAACATGGAATGAAAATTAAGTGTATTTGAAAACAAATGTCTGAGGGAAATTAGGAAAAAAATGGAATGGGTTCAAATAGAGTGAAAAAAATAAGAGAAATGTCTGAGCAACCATTAGTGTCAACAGTTATATGACAGAGAAGGCGCTTTCTTGGCACATCCTGAAAAGAGAGGAATAGAGAATCACTAAACAGAACTTCAAACAGGAAACAAAGAGACTGAGGAAGCGAGGACACCCAAAAGAAACCATAAAAAGAATGTTGACGAGAAAAGCCAAAAGCACTGGACTGGATTACATTCAGGATACTGAATTGATTGCACAGGACAGAATGGAATGAAGAAATAAACTGCGAACCCTATGTGACACACAAGGGTGCAACAGGACAATGATGATGAATTATGACAGAACAAAGGGAAAAAGAAATAAATTATACTAGAAACAGAATATGCAGAATTTATATTTTTTGTGTAAAAATAAAGTCTGAGTTACTCACCTTTCCTCTACAGACAGCCATAAATATTGCTCCATTGAGATTCGGATCACTCACTTTAGTGTAATATTCGTCCATTGCCTGGAAAGATATTTGCAGTGAATTGATGGTTGGAATCAAAAGTAATATTACTGTAGGTGGCTGCAAGTAAAGGCCCTCACTTAGATAAAAGCTCATCAAAGAAGGAGGCATGGCATATACACATCCTCTGGGTGGTGAACTACTTTATGATTAAATGGACGTGGTGAAGGCTCGCTGGGGTCAAGGTAGACAGTGCAACAGAACAGACGGAGTATTCATACATAAGCAGGCTAATTCAGCGGGAGGTCAGCAGGGGTCAGGAAGATATTCAACACTAAGGGGAAAACAGGCAAACTTTCAATCAGGTTACAACTAGTACTATTAGCAAATAGACAGTTCGTTGGCTACCGAGGAAGGAGACGGAGGACGTGTGAGAATGTTAAGAGTGCAGGAATTTCAATTCTTGATTGATTCATTCATACACACAACTAGGAGAGGGTTGTGTGTGTGTGTGTGCTCGCAGGTGTGTGTGTGTGTGTGTGTGTGCATGTGTGCAGCGTGTGTGCGAGTGAGAGAGACATATCAATAAAATGTATTCTTAATACAGTTAATATACTGGGAGATTTTTTAATTCTCAGAATTGACTTTTTCTCAAAGGTCCATCAACCCAGACAAAAACTGGTGTCAGGTCTTCTTCACATAACTTGTGCCATGTGGTGCTGGTAGTCATATCTATTCGCAACCTTCTTTCTCATGTATTTTAAATCAGTTCTGACAAAGATGATCTTCCATGCAATGACGTCAAACTGTCCAGCATTTTCTCTCTCTCTCTCTCAGTGCATTCCTTTGCCAAACTCTTTATCATCTTCTCTGTCTTCCCTTCCTTCTCTTCTAACTCTCCTGCTGTCACAATATACTTCAGGTTCCCACGTCTCAAAATATGCTTAAGGAATGTGTACCATCTCCTTCTGGAATGGCAATACATATTACCCAAAGTTAGATGTGTTCTGCGTTATCATGGTGCTTTCTTCACCATAGAAATGTGTATTTTTGCCCTGAAATGTATTTCTGGTTTTGCATTAATCTACGCTTTTTTTCTCCCAATACAAAATGGCAAGAAAAACTGGTTAAAGTTGATGAAGAATTCTTCTTCTATCTTCTTCTTCTTCTTTGGCGTTCAACAGCTGTAAACTCTGGCGGAAATTTCAGGTTGTTCATCCACTTCTGGACTGCAGTCCTGTTCCAGAACCTGAGTTTTGCATGTGCATCAGTTTTACAGATCTGACTTATTTGTATGCAGACTGCTGGTTCCTTGCCTCTCAGGCAGATGCACTCCGACTTCGAAGGAAGCTCCCAATAAGTCGACTCTTATGACACGCGCTACTTTATGATAAAGCAGACGTGGTGGCTTTCTGGGATTAAATGCACAGTGTAATAAAACAGAGAATCCATGCACTGAAATTGCATTTAATAGGGGTGGGTTGAGCTTCTAGAAGATACTCAATACAGAAGAGGAAACATGGGTGGACTTTTAACCAGACTGCAGCTGGTACTATTAGCATGTCAGCTCTTTATCGGCTGCTGAAGAGGGGGAAAGAATGTCACATGTGCAGTGATGGATGTTCTTGATCCATTCACATAAACCTTTACTAACCTCATCAAATAAAGTTTTCCCCTTGGGTTCTACAATAACAGGTTTGTACTGTGTTATCACATTCCACTGATTGGTAGCCTGGAAGGAAAAATATTACAACAGCTGAAGTCAAATCAACTCCTGTTGCAGCTTCCAGTTTTTCTTCTTCTTATAGTCTATGCTGTGTGGCATTAATAAATTATGTCTGCCTCCAGCCTTCTATCTTGTGTACTGTCAATCACTTGTGTAGCAGGTCATCTTCCTATCATGGTGCCAAAACATTTTGTATTTTCCTTGTATAAGATGCTCCCCATCTCTGACCCTGTATAAGATGACCTCATTTATAAGATGACCCTGTGTATAAGATGACACCATGTCTAAGATGACCCCCTGTATAAGATGACCCCTGTATAAGATGACCTCCATGTATAACATGACCCCCATGTATAAGACATCCCCCACCCGTGAATAAGACCCCCTGTATAAGATGACTCCATACATAAACACCGACATACATAATACAATAGTGTTTTTTTTTTTTTACTCAAAATTATAAAATAAATATTTTAAACATTTTCCATGTAAAAGATTACCCCCCAATTTTAAAATGATTTGGAGAAACATATCGTCTTACACACAGACAAAATATGGTTTATCTTTTCTTCTAGGTCTCCCTCTTCCTCTCCAACTTTCCTGCTGTCACCATGCACTCCAATTATTACCATATTTTACCTATTAAATATGCCTCATAAGATTGGTACCAAATATCCATATCATCCTCCTTGCAAATTTATCTAGGCTATCAAACATAACAAAATACATCTAAAATACCAGACTTCTTGTGCTGATATTACTAGAAGAAACAAGATGAAAAACAGGAAGATCAAATTTGGTTTTGTTTACTCTCTTTACTTCACAAGCAATAATGCATCTACTTTCCCTACAGTGTCTCCCGCATACACAAAAACACATTCTCACAAACTGACTAGTGTACAAAGAATAAGAAAGAGTATAGAAACTAACTATCCACAATGACACTGTACTTTACTTACCTTCCATTTCTCAATGCAGTTATCCATCACAGGATAAGAGGGAAAGAACACCAAGAGACCGTTTGGAACAATGCGGGCAAAATTCACTGCAATGTTTATTAATATAGATTAGGTCACTTCTGCACCTCAGCATCAGGAACGATTTTATCAACACACACTTCGTTTTGACAACAAATTTTTTTTTTCATTAAAAAAAAACACACCGAAATAAATGTTTGAAAATGTCGAGGACACTTAGCGCACCACTAGCATATGACGCTTAGCGTACTAGCCCCAAATTTCCGTAGACTAAAAGTTTAAAGTTGACAGGATTGACTTCACAACACCAGCTTTTATCCCATTTGGGACCAGTCTTCCTCTGCAGAACAGCTGGACTTTTGCTGAGAGGGTCAAACAAAGCATGAACTCTAGTTCCGGTGACAATCCAACAGGGATCTACATAGTAACTGCACTCATGAACCAAACGATGCAGCTGGAAACAAACTCACGGCTTTCAGAGTGTGAGGCACGATCTATCAAAATGGTGTCAGTAGCAGGCCACCTAGGACATAGTGTGAAGCAACGTGTGTGACTCATGCAGTATTAGGTGTTTCAGTATGGAAGGCATGCAACCAAGAACGGCAGTGTTCAGTCCAGTGCCTATTATTTCTTCACTGTGTCATGTGTCAAAGTACTCTGGACAGTGAAAACGTACCCAGTGTTTGTGTTCTTCTTTGCGTTCACTGGCTTTAAACTCCAGCAGAAAATTCTGGTTGTTTGTCCACTTCAGGACTTTAGTCTTGTTGCAAAACTTGAGTTTTGCATGCGCATCCATTTTACAGATATGGTTTATTTTTATGCAGACTGTTAGTTTCTTACCTCTCAGGCAGACGCGCCGATTCAAAAGGAAACCCCTATATAGTACACTCTTATGACATGCTGCTTAGGAAGGCAGGTGTTCTAATCCCTTCTACAACCACCATAATGCAGCCCCTGGAAATATTGGAAGAGTTTGTGTACGAGTGTCTCATGACTGTCCGGCATAGGAACTGTATAAGGGTGAACCCTTTTACAACGGCATCTTTGGCATCTTTGGCATCAAAGTCAAGCAAAGTAAAGAATTCTATTCCACACCTTCAGGTGCATATGGCACATTGGGCTGGACTTATATTTGAAAGACCAATCGGCACTCGTTGGGTGATGTGGTCAACACCATGCCAGCCACCTTTACTTCCCAGGTCTTCAACTGATACCCATTCAAAGCTGGGTCGACTGGTAATTGTTTAAAAATAAAAGTCTGAGTCATAGAGGGGTCCAAAATATGCAATTTATTTTTATTCTTGAAATTAGTTATATCTATCTATGCAAAAATATAATGAATTTATGTCAAACACCTGTGAAGCTATGGCATTTTTAGAAGATTAAAAATGTAGTATCTGGAAAAGGTGCAAAGGTTACCGGGCTTGGTAGTCAGTGGGTTAATAATTGCTTAAAATCAAGACCAATTTTTTAATTATTTTTTCAAGTAATTTTAAATTTAGGAACATTTTTATTTAAACAAACTAATCAGTATTGCCACAATAGCTGCATTTTTAAAAAAAATCAGTAATTTAAAATATTAATATATTTAAAAATGCATAAATAACTTAGCTATTGTTGCTATTTCCGTTATAAAATTAATAAATAATTAAAGAACTAAAAAATCTAATGCTATAAATTTGTGTTGGTAATGTCAGCTCTTGTGTATTTTCCCATTACAAAGCAATTTGTTATTTATTTAGTCTTTAATTACATTTCTGTTATTTATGTAAAAACTAAATTAATTAATTTCTTGCTTATGTTATCTTGTTTATGTTATCTCTTAGTTGACCGTTGGCGACTGTGGCTTAGGCGTTGCGAACACGCTTTGTAATGCTGGGTTCGATCCCAGCTGTCGAAGATTAGTCTTGCATTGGTTTCGCCAGTGGCACCAAGAGCTGGCCGTTCAGTAAGCAATAACAAACTAGTGAACATAAAACTGATTAGAAAAACCACAGCAGCCAAAAACTGTTGTGGTTGGTTTTGCAATGGCCTGTAAAGGATACGCAACTAACTAACTTAGCTGACCACTGACTACTGATAGTTGCCGCAATAAAAATGTCAGTGAACTGTTCAACAACTGTCACCATTAACAGCGCCATGATGTTACATTTACCAACAATCTCTTTCAATCATACAAGTCAACATTAACTTACTTATTGTGTTTCCTAAAGATCTCTGGTATGTCTCATTAGATCTGACAAACAATGTAAAATAATTAGTCAAATTCTAAGTCTAAACATATGTAACACAGAAAACTTGCAAGCATGTGAAGTCAATTTAATGACTTTTTAGAATCAAAGATAACACAATGAAAACAATATCAGACTAGTCATTTTGTTTAAAACTTTGAACCGCACATTAAACCTTGAACTCTCCTAACTGCTTTTCTCATCCCTATAGTCAAAAAAGGTATAATTTAAAAGAAAGACATTTTCAAAATCAAAGTTTTTCCTCCAAGCTATATTATGCCCCAAACAGAACTTATTCATTCAATTGAAGAAAGCGAAATCTGTCCAGAAAAACAGAATAATTTACAGTGAATACCAAACCTCTGTGATAGAGGAGAACATAACATGTCTTGCAGTGAAAACCAACTCACTGTGTTTGAAAACTAACCCCACTGTGATAGAGATCAGAAATAGTCTTGCAATGAAATTAACTCACTGTGATAGAGAACAGAACTAGCCCTGTGGTGAAAACTAACCCCACTGTGATAGAGATAAAAAAAAATAGTCTTGCAATGAAATTAACTCATTGTGATAGAGAATAGAACTAGCCATGCTATGAAAACCAATTATTGTGACCAGAACTATAATCTGTTCTAAAAGTTGTGCCCAACTGTAAAAAATCTGTAACTCAGTAACTGTTCGACGTAAACTGGTGAGATCTGCTATGCAACCTCACAATAATCATGTTTTTGTAGGAAAATAATTATAATGTAAAGAAACTTCTAGTTTTTATTTTGTCTTAATTTTTTTGTTTTTTATTATTATTAACAGACACCAAATCAAAGCCTACAATTAGCATATTTTCTGTAAACGGATGGCACGAACAATGCAAATCACAAAACCAACCACATTTTGGAGGCCATCCATGCGAAAATCTAAGGAGCGCTTATCTTGAATGGTGAACTGGATATTTCATGTACTGTCACAATCTCATTTACATAATTTTAACTCAGTTCATAGGGGGGTTTCACTCTCAGGTGGTCAGTCTTCTGTATTAATCTTCTGTGAGTAAGACACATTATATTTTATTGTATGGGGGATAGACTATCAAAATAATCACCACGCCTTGCTGCACATGTGAAAAGATTTCTAAAACAATCTCCAAGCTTTTCGTTTAAAGTAAACGATTTGTGTCAATTACTGTATATACTTTATAAACTTATCTTCATCCATACAGGAGTTTTCAAGATATTTGTTAAAGTTTAAGGGTACGACTTTTTGAAACAGACTATAGCCTTGCAGTGAAAACGAACTCACTGTGACAGAGATGAGAAACAGCTTGGCAATGAAAACCAACCATTGTGAAAATTTCAGAACTAGCTTTGCAATATAAACCAGTCACTGTTATAGAGCTCAGAACTAATCTTGCAATGAGGAACTGTAACAGAAAAAGAGAACTAGTTTTGCAGTGGAAACCAACCCACTGCGGCAGAGATCAGAAACAGCTTTGCAATGAAAACTAACCACTGTGAAAGAGATCAGAACTAGTCTTGCAATAAAAACCAGTCAATATTATAGAGATCAAAACTAGTCTTGCAATGAGAAACAACTGTAACAGAAAAAGAGAATTAGTCTTGCAGTGGAAACCAACCCACTGTGGCAGAGATCAGAAAGTCTTGCAATGAAAACCAACCATTGTGATAAAGCAGAAAAGGAACTTGTCATGCAATGAATACCAACCGTCTGATGCAGGAAAACCATCCACACAGATTGATATAGACAACCGCTACATAGAAATGAAGCTGGACGCTTGGCTCACACACCAAGATTTAGACTTCTTCTTCTTCGCGTTCACCAGCTGTGACTCCAATGCAAAGTTCTGGTTGTTCGTCCACTTCTGGACTGTAGTCATATTCCAGAACCTGACAGTTGCGTGTGCATCCATTTTACAGATTAGACTCATTTGTATGCAGACTTCTGGTTTTTTGCCTCTCAGGTAATTGCACTCCAACTTTCCATTTAGTCGACTCTTACAACATGGCCTTTTGGTAGGCAGTGGGTCTATTCTTGTTTTCCAATTAATCGACTTTTACAACATGGCCTTTTGGTAGGCAGTGGGTCTATTCTTGTTTTCCAATTAATCAACCCTTACAACATGGCCTTTTGGTAGGCAGTGGGTCTATTCTTGTTTTCTCTACAAAAAGGCCCCGGAACCCACACAGGGAAAAGACTTCAAACCCCTGGATCTGCAATTTGATCATTACTTGTCCATTGTAACTAGTTACCTGTTCTTATACTCTGAATTGAGAACCGTTCCATCAGGACCTTTACACAACGTCCCCAGCCACACCTGGCTTTTCTCAATCACATGAGGGTTCTCCAACTGTACTGGAAAGGGTCTAATCGGGTGAAAACAGATGTAACAAATTAAACTTAGTACAAAGTTCAAAGTATATTTATTCAATTGATGTTTAAAAAGATTCCCAAATTTTTTTTTTTTTTTTTTTTTATTTAACTTTTTTTTAAATCCATATTTTCTTGTTTCCATTCCTTTCATTCTTCTTCTGCTTTGCGTCACCAGCTGTAAACTGCTTCACAACTTGGTTTTGTTCCAGAATCTTAGTTTTGCATGCATATCCGTTTTACAAATCTGGCTTATTTATATGCAAACAGATGGTTCCTCATCTCTCAGGCAGATGCCCTCTGACTTCGAAGAATGTTGAATGTTGAATTAAGAATCAACATCACAGCACTTGCGACACTCCCATAAGCGCTCTGTCCTTCCAACACCTGGTGCTTCAGGTTCTCCAAACTTGCTTGTATACACAATGAAGAGCACTGGTAAAACTGCAGAACCTTAAGGTGACTTTGAAGAAAACATTCCTAATTAGTCACCTTGTAGGACATGCTTGTTAGGGGGGGGCCCCCCCCCCCCCCCCCCCCCCCCCCCCCCCATAGTATGGGGCCCGGAACCTACATGAAAAATTCATTTCATGTTTCATTTCACAACAGCTCTTCCTGTCCCAGTTTCGCATCCGTTTGTGGTGGTATGTGATTCCTGTCATTTTATTCGCTGCTAAAGATTGTGTCAAAATCTTCAACTGTACATATTTGTGTGTGTGAAAGCAGTTTCACAATCCTGATATCTTTGGATTCTAAGTCGGCTGCAGTCAATCTGGTAACAGGTCACTTTGTAAAGACACTGATAATAGTGTGGGCATCATACTGCTCAGTAGCAATGGCAAACTACTGAATGAAAAATTGCCTAGTAAAACTAAATAGCAGTCACTATGTTGCCGGCCCTGACAAGGTATTCACTAGTTTTCAAAAGGGACGGTGAGGACATTCTGTCTGATTTCCCACTAGCACAGGGATAGAGTAGTTATGGGTCAACACATCTGCAGTGAAGTTGGAAGCTTGATTATTAACTAACATAAGAGCCAACAAATGCAAGTGCGCATAGACTGGTGAGCCCTCAAGGGAAGACCATGAGCATTGCCTGTCATTCAAGGAGGCTTCCATAAATGCAAAGCCGACACTAGGCGCTCCTAGGCTCACCTAAGGAACTGTCACGGATCCTATCTAGTCTGTCTGTGCTGTACTGAATCATGATCTGGGTACATCTTAATAAGCCTCTCCTTGAATGTGAAGATCTAGTCTTGCAAACCTTCCTGATTAATGAAGTTGGAAGCTCGACTAACTAACAACATAACAGCCAACAAATGCTAGGGAATGGTTTGCAATGTTCTGAAAAGGATTATGCAGCTATCTTTAATTCTATCAACTCAGACATAACACAAACTAACATTTGCATCTCCATCGTGAAGGAATCCAGCGGTGACAGCGTCCCACTTGTGAGGATGATGACTTTGACTCCATGAGCTAGCAGATCTTTCATTGTGTGGCCTGGGCTGAAGCACCAATAACTGAGTATTCTCTCTGCAAGCAAAAACAAGAATATTAGTTAATATAGTGTAGTAAGATGCATAGGAGGCCAAGAACCAGGGAGTCAGATCGCTAGGGTGATCCAGGGGTTGCTGGGAAGACAACATCCGACAATCTCTGACTGACAGAGGACTAGAACGGAACAAAGCGAGAAAGAAAACTGTTGATAGAGAAGTCTGGCGATCTCTCTGGTCAAACCTCTACACTCCAAGGTAGAAGAGGATTGACTAAGTAAGTAAGTCAATTGTGGTAGCATGAGCGGCGGTGAACCCTTCCTTTTTGTTACATCCCTTGTCATTAGCTTACATTTACTCTATCTCTGCAGTTATTTAAAAAAAAATGTTCAGCAAAAAAAAAGTTTGTGTTTTTAAGATTGGATGGAAATTTCGTTTCTTTTGTGATATCCTACCCAGATGACGTCACAGGACAGGGAGGTAAGACTGGGTTTTCCGGCTTTCTTATGCTTTTAATGACCTCAAAACATCTAGAACTGGCCCTAACCCCAACACACCAAAGACACCCATGACTGCATGCAGCCTAGGTCTCACGACTACATGCAGGCTATCTACCACCCCCTGAAATATTAGACTGTCCCGTGACCTGTGGATTTCCCCAATTTGGGGTAGGATATTAATAAAGCACTGAAATTTCTTCTAGGAAAGGACTTCAGTGTTTAAACAGCTAAGATATTTTTATAATTTACTTTATAATTTTTTTCTTCTTCTTCTTGTTCACCAACTGTAAACTCCAGCGGAAAGTTCTGGTTGTGCATTCTTTTCTGGACTTAGGTCTTATTCCAGAAACTGAGTTTTGTGTCCTCATCAGATGTGGTTTATGTGTATGCAGACTGTTGGTTCCTCACCTCTACGGCAGATGCACTACCGCTTCAAAGGAAACATCATCCCTAATTAAAAATAGTAGACATGCTTGTTGGGAAGCAGTGGGTTTATTCTTGTTTTTGATCCCACAATGAAGCCCCGGAACCCATATGGGGAATGTAGTTATATAACTGTCTGTGTTGTATTATGCTGAAGAAGGCTCTACAGCTACAATATTCATTTTATCATTCATTTGTTGGGAAGCAGACTAGTTGTACTCGTTCTAGTTGGTTGATTTCAAAAACAGGGGCACTCGTGAGTTGAAGTAAATTAATATGTTAATTGTCTGATTACCAATCAGGCTGCACAATATTTCATTTATTCACAGGAGAAGAGACTGGCTAGAAGAATTAAATCTGCCTCAGGCAATAGGTTTGAATCACGACCTGCTCCAGCTGACGGGCCGTGCAGCTGACGTCACCGGGTCGGGCTAACGATGCGTTAGCGCAGCGGTTCTCAAACAAGAAATATACTATTTTTGACAGTGGTGGGGGAAGACAGCTTACATTTTAGCTTTTAAGTATCTACATGCCTTCGTTAATAATTTCACAATTTTTAGCCGACTTTTCTTGATTATTGCAGCGGCTCCCTTGGCATACGCTCATGGCACCCCAGGGTGCCTTGGCACCCAGTTTAAGAACCGCTGCATTAATGCATCATTAGCCCCACCCGGTGACGTCAACAGCACAGCCCGTCAGCCGGAGTCTTTCATGTTTGAATAAATCAACAAACAGCAGGTCATTTACAGAACGTCACTCTCTTCACGGCACACCTGAAAGTTTCTTTCTCTAACTAATTCTCCAGCTCTGTGTGCTTTCAAAGCCAACGCATCTTCAATATCCTGTATCCATCTGAGCGAAGGTCAGCCTGTGTCTCTTCTTCAGGAAACTACACCCTCCATCAACTGTCCTCTCAAAGAAACTATTGACAGGGCCAAAATACCTCAGCTTTTCGGGACAAGATGCTGTTTATGAGCCAAATCTCCTCAAAGTTCAGATCATACAGGATGTCTGCGTTTTTTCTTCTTCTTGATCTACCTCTATTCGAAGAAAATTTTTTTGCAGCACTTAAGCTCAAGCCGGCGTAATGCTGACCACATTACCCACCTAGTGCCAATTGTTCTTTAAAAATATGGGAGCTCCTCCCGTATGCCCTACGCGCCTAAAGGCGTGAAAAGAGATCTTTACTACACTTTATACTTTACTGAAGCTCAAACAGTTCATCCAATACCTGAAAACAAACTTCTTGGTATAAATATTACAGACAGAAACAACAAGAAGCAAACAGCACTCCATAAGTCAGAAAAATCATACCTTTCCTTCCTTCATTATTTGCAGAAGTCGACCAGGAATCAATTTTCTTTTTGTTATAACTTTCTGCTTGCTTCTTCTGTACGTGAACCTGAAAAGCATATTATCCAATGTTAGTTTCTTCATCTGTTTTTCATTTCCAAATGAAGCTTGGGCCTTCAAACAACTCACATCAAGCCATTTGAAAAACTGTTCATGAGTGGTTGGATTTTACAGCTAAGAAAAGTCTCCTTACATTAACTCTCTCTCCCCTGGTGAGTTAGAAAGAAACAAAGCCAATGACCCATATTTTGGGAAGTCCTGGTTGGAAAACTTTTCAAAAACCATTTACACAGTTCATACAAAATCCTAACCAGTCAATTTACGGAACAAATCAATATTAATTTCTATAGAGAATAAGAGCAGCAATCAGTAAATACGAATGGAGCAGAAAATTAACAGACTTACCTCTCTCGACCATAAACAAATTTTTAAGTGGCTCATATCCAGATTTCCTAACCCAGTCACCGAAGAACCACTAGCTGTCGTGCAAAATTATGACATCAAAATTTCTAGTTAAAAAGCCATTTGTTTACAAGGAAGTACCGCCTCCTCAAATGCTATTTTTAAAAAATTAATCACTTCCAGTTCTCCTAACATCTGAGCAGGTGCAACTGATACCAGTGCTATAAGCTATGCTTCTCGTCCTCAAGTCACAATAGCAAGTCGGTAAAGTGACTTTAATGGGGTATTGGACATAACTACAAGTGACAGATGGCATGACAGGGTTAATATTTATCTTAAAATGCTCAGATATTGTCTAAAAAATTTAAAATGCTCAGACAATAGTTTAAATTCCTTAAAATGCTCAAACAATAGTCTGAATACCCTCAAAATGCTAAAACAATTCTCCTTACATTAAAATGCTCACACAGAAGTCTCCTTACCTTAAAATGCTTACACACTCCATACCTAAAAATGCTCATACAAAAGTCTCCTTACCTTAAAATCCTAACAGTCTCCTTACCTTAAAATCCTAACAGTCTCCTTACCTTAAAATCCTAACAGTCTCCTTACCTTAAAATCCTAACAGTCTCCTTACCTTAAAATCCTAACAGTCTCCTTACCTTAAAATGATCATACAAAAGTCTCCTTACCTTAAAATGATCATACAAAAGTCTCCTTACCTTAAAATGTTCATACAAAAGTCTCCTTACCTTAAAATGATCATACAAAAGTCTCCTTACCTTAAAATGATCATACAAAAGTCTCCTTACCTTAAAATGTTCACAAAAAAGTCTCCTTACCTTAAAATGATCATACAAAAGTCTCCTTACCTTAAAATCCTAACAGTCTCCTTACCTTAAAATGTTCACAAAAAAGTCTCCTTACCTTAAAATGTTCACAAAAAAGTCTCCTTACCTTAAAATGATCATACAAAAGTCTCCTTACCTTAAAATCCTAACAGTCTCCTTACCTTAAAATGTTCACAAAAAAGTCTCCTTACCTTAAAATGATCATACAAAAGTCTCCTTACCTTAAAATCCTAACAGTCTCCTTACCTTAAAATGTTCACAAAAAAGTCTCCTTACCTCAAAATGCTCAGACAAAAGTCTCCTCAGCTAAAAATTCGCACAAAAGTTGTATAAAAAATGCTTCGGTAAATGCCTCATGACCTTGAGATGCTCAGATAAAAATATTTTCTCACCTTGAAACATCCAGACATAAATCATCATTAAAAAGCCCAGACAAATCTCCTTACCTTAAAATGCTCAGATAAAAGCTTTTGGTGAGTGGTCAGAGTTGTATATTCCTTTGGCTCTTGACTAAATACAATCTGCAACAAGTAATTGATAATATTTGTTTAATGTTTCTTGTCTTTAAATCAGATCCTTATATAAGTTTAGACTTAAAGACAAGGGTAAGAATGCTGGCTCATATTCGCAAGACCAAAGTTATAATTCTAATTACCGTGGATTCTGGGCTTGCGAGGAAATGAGCGTAAACGGGAGCTAAAACAACTGGGTGAAGCCGCAGAAAGAGCTTCGAGCTAGCTGTGGACACAGTGGAATGTCGTGGGGGATAGGCCTCGGTAGAATGGTCAGGGGCCCCCAGCGGAAAATGTCTCTCTGCCAACTGCCAAAGTCTAACATCAGTCCAACGAACCAACCATTAACTTGTCACTCTGGTCTGTGCAGGTACGCGTCTAATATGCTACCGCAGCGACAATATATAACACCAACCCTCACAATACCTGTTGCAAAGCCACCATGCCGATCTTGTCCCTGTCAGTTAAACGCAGCAGGAGAAGTCTGTGGCCTGGCTTCATGACCCAGGTTGGCCAACCCTCCAAGACTGTCTAGAAGATAATGGGCAGAAACAATTGTTGACGAGGGATCTTTCTACTGATAAACGTTGAACTCATGCTGTGTCTGCTCCAAGTGGAGTTCTTCTGACATATGATTATTATCATCATCTTCTTCATGTACCCGAGCTGTAAACTTCAGTGAAAAGTTTATGGTTGTTCGTCCACTTCTACACTTTGGTCCCATTCCAAAACTTGAGTTCTCATTGCACAACATTTGACAGATCTGGCCAATTAGTGTGCAGACTATTGGTCTACAGGCAGATGCACTCCGACTTTAAAGGAAACACCCCTAATTAGTTGCTGTTTATGACATGCTTGTTAGGGGGCGGTAGATCTTTTCTTATTTTCCCCAAAGTGGAGCCCTAGAACCCACCTGGGGAAGGGATAACAATTATATTTTAACCTGCACAGTCCACAGTGACTGCACTAGACAAGAGGCCATAACTGCTCACGCTCAAGACCCCTTGCCATTCAACGGCCTAAAAAAGTAGTAAATACAGGCAGTAAGGATAGCAGTAGTAGTAGTAGTAAAGAATATCAACTTCAATTGCTGCTGAAGATGGGGACGGAGCACTTATGGAAATGGCCCGAGTGCTGTGATGTCGGTTCAACTCACTGGGTTTAATTCCATATAGTTTCCCTGTGTGGGTTCTGGTGCCCCATTTTGTGGGGGAAGGGGGATGAGGGGATTGACTCATCTTTATGGTATAAACCTTTCATAAATGCATAGATAAATAAATTAAAGAAGTTTAGTTAGATCTGACTCGTGCTTTTAAAAAAAAAAAAAGGATTAAAAAGCTTTTTTTATTTTAAAGGGGAAAAAACTATAAAATTTTTCACCTTCAAGCAGTCAGCAAATTTTGATAATCCTGCTCCTTTGGTGCTTAATGCAGAATTTCCTGATGTGAAAACATTATAGAGAGATACTGAATAATGGTGTCTGTACTTAGCTGTGTGTCTGAATATGTGTTGTGTGTGTGTGTGTGTGTGCGCATGTTGTGTTTATGTGTAGATTGTGTTTGTGTGTAACATACGTGTGTAGACTGTGTCTAAGTGTGTGTGTGATCACGTGCTGTGTCTGTCTGTGCTGTGACTGTGTGTGTGTATCTTGTTTCTGCATGCTTGTGTGTTGTCTGTGTATACCTGTGTAGTGTATATGCCATGCCAGTGTGTGCACCTGCCTGTTAAGTAAATGTTTCTATATGTGTGTTATGTCTGTGTGTATAATGTGTCAGTAAGTTTGTATGTGTGGATGTCAGTGTGTTTGTGTATGCTGTATCTGCGTATGCCTGCTTATGTGCTCTGTTAGTGTGTGCACCTCTGTATGTTAAGTGTGTTTAAGTTTGTGTATATGTCAGTAGTTTGATGTGTGTGTGCGTGTGCGTATTTCTGTATGAATATTTGCCATCCATATATTTACTTAACATTCGTACTATAGAAAGATTATCAGAATACCAAGGACCAAGAAGAGAAGAAATACTGACATTTTAAAAGATTTGAACAACAAGAAGGATTGGCTAACAAACAGCATCTTGTCTCAGAAGCTGAAATACGAGACAAGCTTTTTAAGTAAGTCCCGTTTTGACAGTAGCAACAAACACTGATGGAAAACATAAATGTGCATAAGCAGTATGTTTTATGCGGTTCCCCAGCTAGCTCACATTTATCACCTCTTTCTCATACACGAATGTATGTAGTAATGTAGACAAAGATGGGAGAATATATAGAGATATAAACATGGCAATACAAATAGTAAAAGGATCTTCACAGCACAAGGAAATTTGTGGAGGGCAGAAGACACAGAATATAATACTAAACTTATAAAAATGTAACTCTAATATCAAATCAGTACTACTGCATGGAGCAGAAACATGCAGAACAAACAAAATAATTGATAATAAACTACAAACATGCATGAACCCTATTGCCAGAAAAGGCTAAATCCAGTCAGTTGTAGCTCAGCCCTGTAAATGCCAATATTTCACCACTGCTGCAATGACCTGCTCTCAAAAAGTGAAGTTAAATTCCATTGGGTTTATGCATGCCTAGTGTTTAGAAGGGTTTCCTTGAGAATAAAATAGCTTTCTTATAGCAAGATTGACTATCAATATTCCCATAAGCCTCACTGATAGAGGTAGCAGGGTTACTGTATTAGGCAACATACATATTTGTTTTGGGACTAAGGAACGCATTTGATTTAATGCTTCCCTCAGTTCTTGTTTAGTAAATACTTTCTCTACAAAGCTTTAAATTTTCAAAACATCTTGTTTAATGAATACTTTCTCTACAAAGCTTTATATTTTCAAAACAAACATTTTTAAAATATTCACAAATAAATTGTTCAATACTTCATTAACTATCTTGAAATGAAATATTTTTTCCAGAAATTTCCATGTGGCCCATGTTGTTAGCAAAAGGGTTAAAAGTGACTGTGCAGAAGAAATAGTATGAAACAATAACTAACGTGCACCTTACAGAAAGAAATAAACAATCTGGTGCTAAGACACACACTAAGAATACCCATTAATAGTATAATCCTTTCTGTGTGGGCTCCAGGACCCCATTTTGTGTGCGTGTGTGTGTGCGTGTGTTCGCCTGTGTGTGGGGGAGGGGGGAGGAATACAAAATGCTCCTTAACAAGCATGTTGCAAAGGGTGACTTACTATGGGTTTGCTGAAATTAGATGTGCTGGACTAAGGCAGAAATATCACAGCCTAGGTGTAAACCACAATAAAACATGCCAACTGCCTTTTTTAAAGTGAACAGAGAAGAAAAAACAGAAGAATAAAACGATTGGGTAGGGGTTGCACAGAAGAAGAGAAGAAAAAGAAAAATAAAAGAAGAAGAATAGAAAAACATAAGCAGAAGAAGACACATGATATTTTCATTTTCTAGCTCCACTACAAGCCCATAACAATGTAACAAAGAGAGGTTTTAATAAAAAGAATTAAAATACATCCTAAAACTGACAGCTCACCATCATTGCTGAGGAAAGTGCTCATTTTGTCCAACACATCCAGCAACAAAGACTTGGTTGTCCAGTTAATGTTGACTTTAGCCAGGAATTCAAACATGTAGCTGTGGGAAAAGTGAAACGTGAACTTCTGCAATTTGATAAACACCTTGTTTTAAGCTGCGTCATATAATGAAAGCACCACTGCTGGTCCTAGGCCTGGATGAGAAAGGAGGAGGAGAAGGACAGAGCATGTGGCCAGCTCCCCTGTTTTGTAACAGAATCTTGATATACAAACTCACCTAAAAAAATTATGAAAGTCATTCTGGCAAATTAGGAAGGTAAAAGGTGAGAGAAAACTGCTGGTGAGAGAAGACTGCTGATGAAAGCCACTCTGCCGAAGCCAGTGGCCAGATATGCTCAAAAAAAAACTTACATAAAAAAAACTTTTCTTGTGGGTTTTTTCTTCTTCTTTGTGTTGACTGACTGTGAATTCCAGTGTAAAGTCATGGTTGTTTGTCCACTTGGACTTTAGCTATTTACTAGTACCTGAGTTTTACATGTACATCCGTTTTACTTGCTTATTTGAATGCCGTTTTCGTTCCCTGCCTCTCGGGCAGATGTACTACGACTCTGAGGGAAAGACTGGTTTTTGAGATGGTCAAACTATGGTAAAGTGAGGCCCAAAATGCTGGACTGGCATTCAGTTTATGATACTTTTTCTTTTTCTGGTTCACTGGTTGTAAACTCCAGAGGAACGTTCTGGTTGTTCGTCCACTTCTGGTCTTGTTCTAGAATTTGAGTTTTGCATGCACATCCGTTTTACAGATCTAGCTTATTTGTATTCTTTGCTTTCTTTGCATTGGAACCCACAGGGGCATAGAAATAAAAGAAAACCAAAAAAAAAACACATGGAGAAGGGAGCTGGAGAGTGAAGTTAAAAAGATGGAGAGGACATAGGGAGAGCTGCATGTGATAGCAAAGGATAGAATGACTTGGCGTGAGTTAGTTGACGGCCTTTGCTCCGTTGGGGGCTAGAAAGGCAGAGGAGAGTGTAATTATATTACATATATACCTATTTAGAAGGGGTTGAACAGAATATGTCTAGTTTAAAAAATGATCTTCCTCAAGTGGGTTCCTGGGTGGACTCCATTCTGGAGAACAAAGAACAGACCTATTGCTGCCCCCCCCCCCCCCCCCCCCCCCCCAAAAGAAATTAAGCATGTCATAAGAAGCCACTAATTAAAAAATAATGTTCCTCGTGTGGTTTTCCTGGGCTCCATTCTGGAGAAAAATAGACCCCCCCCCCCCCTCACTCCAAATAAGCAGGTCGTAGGAGGCGACTAATTAGGGGCGGTTTCTTCAAAGTCAGAGTGCATATCTACCTAAGAGGCAAGAAACCAACAGTGAGCATATAAATATGCCAGATCTGAAAAACATATGTGCGCACATAACTCAACCTCTGGAACAAGACTACAGTCCATAAGCGATCGAACTTTCTTCCACGTTTACAGTCCATGAACGATCAGAAGAAGATGAAGAAACATAATGTTTGACTGCTTTTGTTAGCACCAGTGAAAACGATTGCCAGAAATGGGGTTTACCCGGACTCACCCGCCAGGCAGTGTTTTTCCCTGGGCAGAATTCATAATGTCAATCGCATCCAGGTTTTCCTCCATCTCCAACAGTGTTTCTAAATCAAAGAAAGGATATTCAGATTATACAGTTGTTAGATACAAATTATTATCATACATTCCCGATGTGGAATTTGGGGGGAACAAAGAACAGACCCATTAACTACTAAAGTAAAAAAAAAACCAGTAAAGGTCCATATTCCAGGCCTTTAGGCGTATTGGGAATATAGGGCTAGACCTATATTTTTATAGACCAATCAGTACTTGGTGGGTGATGAGGTCAGCATCACACCGGCCACCTTTACTTCCCAGGACTGCACCTGCGATCCACTCAAGGCTGGGTAAACCTTGGATCAAGGTCACTTTAAAAAAAAAAAAGTCCAGCTCCATCAGGACGCGAACCCACAACTTTCCCATCTGCAGGCCGGCGTCTAGCCGCCAATGCCACGGCGACTCCCACTACCTGTTAAGTGACTAAGGTGAATTTTCTTCTAGAATGAAGTTGCAAGCATGCCCTTAAAGGCATCTAATTAAGGATTTGCTAAAACTGGATGTGTTATGCTGAACGAGCCTGGAAACCATAACTCACGTCAAATGCCCTTTTAATTAAGGCTGACTGCAGGAGGAGAAAAAGAAGAAGATAAAGAAAAACGACTTACCTCTGACCAAATTTTTTCTTAGCATTAGGCAACTTACAATATGTTCACTAATTTCTCTATTCATGGTAAACCCTTCTTAACTTGTCCTACCATTTTCAAGTAATGTTAATTCAAGGTATAACAGTTGTTATTTTATCTCACTGTTTCCCACAGTTAATTCTTTAAGTTCCAAATATTGTTACCTAGAATTATAACAGCAGGGGTTTAGAAGGTTATAATATACTTCTCCTTTTCGTTCATCCAGGTGAAGTAAATGTGTTGTGCCTGTTTACAGCAGAGCTGCGATATTTGGGCCTTTCTGCTTACACGTCCGACTTCATCAAGCAATCGTTGACCGAGTTAACTTCTCAGATAGTTTCGTGGGACAGAGACATGACGTAGCCTTATTTGTGTGTTGTTCTCTCTGTACCCTTATCTACAGGTGTTGTCCCCAGGGACCCTGTCTAAGGCATCCGCATTAAGATATGTCTGCCCTCAAGGGAAGGTAGGGGCAGATCATGGGCATTCCCCACCATCCAAAGAGGCTTACATAAATGCAGAGCCGACACATGACGCTCTGGTCCTGGGCTCACCCAAGGAATTATCATGTACGCTTAGTATACTACCCGCCTACTGAAATACAAGGGGAGTCAATAAGTAAGTCACAAATGGTTATGGGATGGCAAGAAAATGTAGCTGGTGGTTTCTAAAGGTGTCATTAGATGACAGCAACATAGAACTTTATGCTTCCCTTCGTTAGATGGAACTAGGTGTTGCATGTGTATTCGGATCACAAAATGGTGACTGTACTTGTTGTGCGGTGATTTTTTTGGGGGGAAGGGGGTGGACAAAAGGGTTACCTGCAAAGGACATTCATAAGGAAGTGCTTCCTGTTTATGCTGACAAATGTTTATCCCATAGAGTGGTGCATAGCTGGGTAAAAAAGACATTTCTTAAGGACGCTCTAAAATTGTCGATAAAGTCCGATCTGGTCATCCTGTTGAGACTGCAACAGACGCATCCGTGCAGTTGGTGGTTATGCTGACATTGTTCTAGGATTGTTAAAGAGTGCTTATAACCAAATTCAAATAAAGAGGTAACAATGTGAATGCTGATTCATAGTGTAAAGTTCTATTGATGCTTCATGATGCAGTTCAAAGAAAACGTCCACGCCTGCTGACTAGAGGAGTAGTGCTCCTTCATGACAACGCCAGACCACCTACGGCTCGGTTAACCCAGCAGAAAACTAACCATGTAGGGTGTTAACTTCTGGAACATCCACCTTACAGCCTCCGACTTAGCCCCTAGCGATTCCCACCTTTTTTGGTCCACTGAAAATCCACCTTGGAGACATTTCGCAAATGACACATAAGTTGAATGTGAAGTGAAAATGTGGTTTAGAAAAAAGAGCACACAGCTTTTGGCAACAAGTTTGGGGAGACTGAGAAAACGATAGGATAAGTGCATCAATATTGGTGGGAATTATGTTGGAAAATAAACAGGAAAATAAACAGTTTGTGTAAAAGTTACCGGTTTTAAAGTTGTTTTAGGTTTTCTTTTTTAAACAACCATTTGTGACTTACTTACTTATTGACTTCTCCTCATACTTTATGGCAAGATGAATAAATACAGGAGCTGGAGGAAAAACAATTAAATTCCAACCAATCACACAGCACTATAGGCCTTATATTGTCTAAACTGTGACAGCAGTCAACTAGAAAGCTATGACGAACTTGACAACCACTAGGAAAACATTTACATTATAATACTTGAATTTCAAAGTGAAAAGATCCTTTACATGCCAGTGGTGCATCAGCAAATTCGACTACACTCACTGTTATAGGCCAGTTGGCCCTCGACAGGTGATATGGTAAACATCATGCAACCCCCTTTACTTCCAAGGACTTTACCTGGTAACCATTTAGGGCTCCGTCAACCTGGGAGCTGAGATCAGGTTTTTTTTGTTTTAATATGGCCCCATGCAGATTTGAACCCATGACCTTCAGATCTGCAGGCGAGCCTCTGGCCGCTACCCACAATGGCTCCCATACTAAAAATTTACCTGTTAAAATTACTTACTTTTTAAACGAATGATATCTTCCAAGGTAAATTCTGGAACTGAAAAAACAAAGAAACAAATGTTAAAGTAGGCTTAACAACCCACACAAAAGAATTACTTTTGTTTTTTCATGGACTTCTTTTTATGCCTTTGCACTCAGAAGGGTGGTTAGCACGTGGTGGTGTGATTTATAGCTGGAAAAGTCATGTTTTACCATCTCATACGATCACCTGAATCATGGGTCAGGTGAGTGGTTTTATGTTCCGGCTTCCATAAGGCCAAACTTATCTCTTTTTATTCCTCTTGCTTTTCCCCAAAAAAATATTGCCGGCCATCACCAAGTTTCTGAGTCCATTCCATCTCATTACATGTCCAAAAAGCACAGACCACACACAATTTCTCTAGTCAGAACAGTTTTTATATGCTTATGTTCTGTCTATCATTCCATGTTATTCTGTGAATTATTCTCAAAAACCACATGTCTGCTGTGAAAAACTGTTTTTCATCTTCTCTGCTTATTGCCCAATTCTCACATGCATATAACCATGCAGGTTTTTAACTTGTTTAACTTTAACATTTTTATTTTCCCTGCCATTCACATTTTATTTTATTGGCATCTTTTGAGGTCACTTTTGCCAAGGTGATTCTTTTTCTAACCTCAGCTAGGCATCTTTGGTCATTTGCCATGACTCTCCCAAGATATTTCTATCACTTTACTTTAAAAATGTCCCATTTGCATGGATTTCACAGTGGTTTTTCTTTCTACTTACTGATGACGAAAATTTATGTTTTCTTACAATTTAACTCCAATCCTTATTGCTCACTGTGTACTATTTGACTTAGATACACCCCCTTATAAGTTGACTTTTATGACATGCTAGTTGGTAGGAGGGGGCCTTTATTTGCCTCAAAATGATGCCTCAGAATCCGCAAAACAGAACACAGTTATTATTCTGCCTGCAAGAGATGTCGTTCATTTAGACTACAAGCAAATCTCTTGTAATAGGGCTTAATCTAAGCAGTACAGTAGTTCTTCCACTCGACTGACATCTTAACCAAGGGATGTCACTGAGTAGTGTGTTTGGCTAGCGGTGGTTACCCATGTTCCCAATGGGTTCTTATAGACGTTTTCACTTCAATTATTTAACTTTGACTGTTTAACTTTATCTGCTTATCTTACTGCAACAGTAACACATGGACAAGCTGCAGTTACGCAGCCTCTTTCCGGGATCCTTTGATTAGTGCCTATTTACTGATGCAGGCTTAGCAGTCAAGCTGTGAGAGATCCTGTCTGCATTTATTTCCTTTGCTGTGACTAGCGCTAGACAGAAAATTACTTCTGTCACTTTCCATCTTTCCAGACAATAGTTTTATATTGTGCTATAGGAAGGCATGGAAATCACAACCCATTGTGATGACTAGTGTTGAATGTTGAAAGTTGAATTAAGAACTGACATCACAGCACTCAGGACTTCTATAAGTGCTCAGTCCCCATCTTCAGCAGCAAGCAAAAAGTTCCAATTCCAATGGTACCAGTAACCGTCTCATTATCTGACTGTGAGGACTGTTATGACCAGCAAGACCTGCTTAAGTTAAGAAAAGTCTTACATATATAATAAACAAACAGACAATATATTGATCAGCAGTCACAGAAAGGAGTAGAAAGATAGAAGCAATGGTTCCCGTATGTTATTTACGTGAGTTCACAAAAATATTATGAACACAAAATGGCAGACCCATTCTTTCGTATACTGTACGAATACCTATAGCAGAGTCGTCAACTTGTGAAAACTCAGTTTCTAATGAACTTAGTTCAGCCACCCTTTCAGCCAGTTTTGTGGTTTCTTCTATAGCCGTGGCAAGGTCCAATGAGCTGAGGTCAAAGGATGCAGACTCTTCACAAATCTTTTCCTGGAACATTCAAAAGAAATATAGCTGTGACAACTGAAATAAATCTTAATCTTATTTTGAGGCATGAATATAAAAACCTGTATTTTTGTGACATGAATATAAAAACAGTAATTATCACTGTAACATGAATGTAATTGCAACTATCTCTATGATATGAATAGAAGAGCATCTATGTCAGTAACATGTCTGTAAGTAAGTGCATGTATCTCTGTGACATCTTCTTTTTCAGAATTCCGAGCCCTTGAGGTTCAATGCTGCAGATATCACCTACCACCATTCATCTCTCCGGTTGGCCTTCTCTTTCCAGTTGGTGACACCAAGTTTTTGCAGGTCTGTCTGGATATTATCTCTCCATCGTCTTCTTGGTCTGCCTCGTTGTCTACAACCATTCATCTCCCTTTGTGTATAGTTTTTACTTCTCTGTCATTTGACATTCTCTCAATATGCCCCAACTATTTCAGTCTATTAGCTCTCATGACGCCAGTGATCAATGGTGATTTAAACACATTATCTCTCTGTGACAGAATATAAAAATACCAGTCGTGACATGAATATAAAAACATGTATCTCTTTGACATGAAAATAAAGGCACTCATCTCTGTGTATTACTAGAGAGCCACAGTAGGGTTGCGGTAGACATTAACCTGTCGGCCCGATGGTCTAGAAATCAAATCCCTATCAAATGGGATGTTAACATTTATTTTCTGAGGTCGACCAAGCATAAAATGGCTACCAGATAAAGTGCTGGTTTGGTTCTAAATAAATTGGTGCCCAACATTATGTACACCATGCACCAATAGCGTGAAGAAAGGTCCTTTACATTACAATGTATATTGCTGTTATCTTCTTTTTCTTCACGTTCACCGGCTGTAAACTCTGATGGAAATTTCTGGTTAATTGTCCACTACTGGACTCTAGTCCTGTTCCAGAAAATTGAGTGTTGCATGCACATATGTTTTACAAGTCTGACTCATTTGCATGCAGACTCTTGCTTCCTTGCCTCTCAGGCAGATGTACTTAGACTTTAAAGAAAACTCCCAATTAGTCAACTTTTAGGACATGCTTGTCGGGTAGACACTGGATCTATTCTTGTTTTACCCCACAATGGGGTAGAACCCACACGGGGAAATGTTGTTATCAGTATAATGTTCAGTGATTCCTGAATTTTTATTGATACAGAAACTACATCATGACTAAATCAAATGTAAATCCTTCTTCTTCTTTAATCACCGGATGTAAGCTCCGGTGGAGAGGGTCCTGGTTGTTCGTCCATTTGGACTTTGGCTTTGTGCCAGGGCCTGAGTTTTGCGTGCACATCCGTTTTACTGACTTATTTGTGTGCAGCTGGTTGTTCCTTGTCAATCGGGGCAAATGCACTCCAACTACGAAAGAAATCCTCAATTAGTGGATTCCTAGGACATGTTTATCGGGGAAGGAGTGGGTCTATTTTTGTTGTCCCCACAATGGGGCCCCAGGAACCCACATGGGGAAAATGTAAATCCAAAATCAAGCATCCTTAGGGACGCAACGGTGCTGAACCACATTTCTTGGTGCACCAGGACCGGGGCACATGCTGGTGAGGACTGATATACTAAGGAGATCCAACCGGGGGCCTGACCAACGTAGATAGTATCAACATTTCCCTGAAAGTTGGAGTGTATCTGCCTGAGAGATGAGGAACTAACAGTCTGCATGCAAATAACCCAGATCCCTACAATGGATGTGCATGCAACACTCAAGTCCTGGAGCAAGGCCAAAGTTCAGAAGTGGATGAACTCTTCTTTTTCTTCTTCACGATCGCCGGCTGTAAAGTTCTGGTTGTTCGTCCACTTCTGGAATTTGGTCCTGCTCTAGAACCTGAGTTCTGCATGCACATCTGCTTTCAGATCTGGCTTATTTGTGCGCAGACTGTTGGTTCCTTGCCTTTCAGGCAGATGCACTCCAACTCTGAAGGAAATATTCACAATTTATCAACTCTTATGACATGCTGTTGGAGGGCAGTGTGTCTATAGTCCCCCCCCCCCCCACCCCCCATCCAATAGGGCCCAGGAGCCCACACAGAGAATTGGACGAACAACCAGGACTTAATATTCTTATATTTTACCTGGAAAAAAAATACATCTTAGAAAATATTGATCAGTACAATTTAATAATAGGAACCAACATGGTGTAGCAGCCAGACATCCAGCCTTTGGATCGGAAAGTGGTGGGTTCGGGTCCTGACAGAGCCGGGGTTTTTTTTTTTTAAATGACGGCATCCACGTTGACCCAGCCTTGACCGGCTAGCCAGTACAGTCCTGGAAAGTAAAGGTGGCTGCCATGATGCTGACCACACTCTCCACCGAGTGCCGTTTGGTCTAGCCCGATATGCCCAATACGCCTGAAGGCGTGGAAAAGGATTCTTTACTTTACAAACTAACAATATGAAATACACAAATTACCAGATTGTGAGCCTCATCAAATATAATGATGCTTCCCTGAAGCTCCACTCCATGGGCTTTCCTAGACTGGAGACGACAGAGAACAACACAACATTATTGACAAACACCAAACACTGATTACTACATAGGAAAACAACATCTTCATCTTGTCGTAGCATTATACCTCATGTAGACCTTGGAGTCTATTCCTCCATTCAATTCTATGCTCCTCAATTATCTTAACAGATCAGAAGTCACAATTTTTTGTTGTTGCTCATGCACTGAACACTGCACACCTAACAAAAACTCAAGAGACCTTGAAATGACAGCCCAATTTATGGTCCACACTGGATTAAGCACATGATCACAGATTGCTGAAGAAGAATTCTTTCCTGCGCAATCCATTCGATATCATGGATGGAATCCAGTCCAGCACCTTGGGCCTCTCTCAACAATGTCAGTCTTAGGGTTCCTCTTGGATGTTCTTATTTCCTCAATCTGTTTGTTTTACGAAAGATACTTTAATTTATTATGTGCGCAACAATACATACGGGCGTCCGATCTTACTACCCAGAGACCAGGGGGCAAATTACTAGAAGTCCCTGTGAAAAAATCCCAGCCTTCACCGGGGCCTGAGCCCAGGACCTCTAGCACCTGAGGCGGACACCGTGCCTCAAGATCAGGCATCCCCCCTTGTCGGAGATTCAAACCTAGGTCTTCAAGGTTTGCAGGTAAATATGCCAGTCACTGCTCTGTCCAGCTCCAAAAATTATCCTAGTTAACCAAATTAAAATAATTATACACAAAATAATCAGCCCAAATTACAAAAAAAGGGGCACTGCTTTGACTGAACCGTCAAGACTAATCAAGAAGAGAGAACCCAATTCTTTGACAGAATGTCTCTTGCTTGTCTCCAGGTGTATAGTTAAAAGGGATCGTGCCTTCCAAATTATTTATCCCACATTGGATAGGCATTCAATGAAACTAGCTGAAGCCGTTATTTTAACTAATTTTACTGTGTTATGCAAAACAAGACAAAAACAAGCATGTGGTAAACCTCTGTGGTAATAATGAATTTCTGATGGCGTGATGTACGCTTCAACTAGAGAGATTTGTATTTGTGTATTTTGGTGGAAAGAATTTGTTTGTGTGCTTCATTATATGTTGAGGAACAAAGCAGATGTGGTCAGAGCCCTTTGAAAACAAGTAACAAAGTCAGAAGAGAAACTAGATTATTATGTGCTGGAGAGAATGATGCACCTGGGTGTGACCAGAGGGTTCGGCCAACACATTACGCTCAGAGGAAAGGCACCCTTAGTACTGGAACTCCGCGCTGGCTGCTGAGGTTGGGGATGGAGGGAGTATGGGAATGCCATGAGTACTGTGATGTCAATTCTTGACCCAACTCAATTATATGTTGAAGTAACCCTGTAGCAATGCACCTGACGAGGCACATCGAAATAACCCTGGCAATAATATGAGCAATGCACTGTTTTAACTGCATTATTGAAATGACTTAACATCACAAACGGAACTTACCTTGTTGTCCAGTAAGTAGTTATAAGGCATGAACACAATATCAGCGTCTGTTTTGAGCTCCCGTGCCATGTAGTATGGGCATGTTCTGGAGGAGATGATAAATGATTAACTTTGAGAGATACAGGCAACACTATGAAATTCAGAGTCGTCATGTTGTAGCCCTCTTGAATATTGGAAGGTCATAGATTTGGGTCCTGAGGAAGCCTATTTTTTTTTTCAGAAATGACCTTGGCTCCCAGGTCAACCCAGCCTTGAGTAGGTACAAGGTAAAGTTCTGGCAAGTAAAGGCAGCCGACGTGATGCTGATCACATCACCCACCAAGTGCCGACTGGTCTATAAAATAAAGGTCTAGCGCTAAATGCCCAATACACCTTAGGGCGTGGAAAAGGGTCCTTTTACTCTGATAATAATGTTTTCCTCTTCCTCACATTCTTCATCTTCATGTTCTCAAAATGAGCAGACAACCTTCACAATGCAAGGCAAATGGATTAACCATTTTACCATGGAGAACCCCACACACTATTGTTACTTCTTTTTAATTTTTTCCATTTCAAAATATGATTAACCTATGACGACTTCACAATAAACAAACCTTATAACTGTTAATGTGATCCTCAAGTCTTCCCCATGTGGACTTGGGGGTAGTGTGGTTTGTGTGTGTGTGTGTGTGTGTGTGTGTGTGTGTGTGTGAGTTAGAGGGATAAAGGCGAATGGAAGATCAAGAAAAGGATGCATAAATGGTGTAGCAGAAACCTGCAAAAAAGATGAACAAATCCATTACTCAAAGCCACCCAAGAATCGCTAGACAAGTACAGAAAACTATGACACTGGGCTACAACCTGGTATCAGTGAAGCGACAAAAGAAAGAAGAGCTCCCAGATCAACCCAACAAAAAATAGGTACCAGATAGAGACCTTGGTTTCTTTTAAGCCAGAATGTATCTGCTTGAGAGGCCATGAACCCCCCGTGTGGGTTCCGGGGCCCTATTGTGGGGAAAACAAGAATAGACCCACTGCCTCCCCAAAAGCATGTCGTAAGAGTCGACTAACTGGGGAGCTTCCTTTGAAGTCGGAGTGCATCTGCCTGAGAGGCAAGGAACCAGCAGTCTACATTCAATTGAATCAGATCTGTAAAACTGATGCACACGCAACACTCAGGTTCTGGAGCAGGACTGCAGTCCAGAAGTGGACGAACAACCAGAACTTTACGCCAGAGTGTACAGCTGGTGAACGCGAAGAAGAAGAGGCGAGGAACCAATGTCTGCATACAAATAAGCCACAACTGCAAAATGGATGTGCACGCAAACCTCAAGTTCCTGAACAAGACTAAGTCTATAAGTGGACAAACAATGAGAACTTTCCGCCAGAGTTTACAGCCAGTGAACACGAAGAAGAAGAAGAAGAATTATCTGATTGCTGAAGTCTCACTTTGTCTTGTGTCCGATCTTGACAATGTCTTCGATGTCCACAACATTGCCTACAATCTTTCTGGCATCACCATTCTTTTTAAAGCCTGAAACCAGAGAAAAAAACAGAATGCAATGAAACTATGAAAGTCATTTCTGTACATCCACATTTTATGAAACTACAATTTCTTATTTAAGCCTAGAAAGACAAAGGCTTGTTAAATTCCAAATAAGTATATTTCTCCCATATTAATTTCACAGCTGAAGACATGGCACAAGCGTTAAATGCATTCTAAAATAAATGTCTGACGAAAACGATAAAAAATAAAATGAGATGAATTCAAAAGGGAAGAGTAAATAAAAGAAACTTCTGGGCAACTACTAGTATCTACTAGAGCTGTATCATATAGGTGATTATCACTATTCGGCCAAATACGAATAACTGTGCAACTATTAGGCCAAATATGAATAGTGTACAAAATAAATCTAAAAAACATTCATTCATAATGTTAAATTTAAGCTAAACTTTTACTTCACAAAATGTAGTACAGAATAGTAAACATTTAAAAACATTTTATGTTTTGCATCCTTCAGTCAGTCTGTGGTAACTAATAAATAGGAATGAAAGTATTATAATAGGTAACTAAACTAGTAAATTATCACTGTAAGCTTGGTTAATGCACAAAAGCTGCATTAGCTTTCAACAAAGCTAATTGTTCCATGTTGACAGCATTAAGGCAGTGTATGCGTAAGCGGGTGAAAGATAACCACTATTAATATTCGGCCAGACCGTAAGTATTCGGTCAAATAGTTATTAGGTCCACTATTCGGCCCCGAAAGCAAATGTTCGGTACAGCTCTAGCATCTACAGTTATAAAACAGAGAAGATAGCGCTATACTGAAAACATCATGAGAAGAAATAAGCAGAGAATCACCAAACATTCAATGAAATGGAAAACAGAATGACTGAGAAGGTGAGGAGGCCCACACACACACACACAAATAAAAACCTAACATGAACATTGTTGAGAGATGCCAGGAAAGCTGGTCTGGACTGCATCCATATTAAAATGATTGCACAGGACAGATAAGAATGGAGGAATAGACTGCGAGCTCCCATGTGACATATAATGGCACAAGAGAACAATGAATGAATGAACGAATGAGGGAAGGAATTTCACAGCACATAATTTAAACACTATTTAGCCTACAAGATGCCTGGGACACTAAGACGCAGTTCATTAATAAGAATTAGTAAAAATTAATTACCTTCAATATTGTTGTAAAAATGACAATGTCGAGCTGCAACTTTGACTCTGCACAGATTCACCTGATCATATATAAAAATTACAAACATCAGCATATTAAATATTTACTAAATATACAGCAAAGAGTAAATCCCATTTTTCTGCCCTGAGAAGAAATATGCTATAAATCAGTGGTTCTCAACCTTCCTTATGACGCGACCCTTTCTTACAGTTCATGTTGTGGCGACCCTTTTAAACATATAATTATTTTCATTACTACTTCATAATCTCAATGCATATGTGCTTTCCCATGGTCTTTGGCAACCCCTGTAAAGGGTCATTTGACCCCCAAAAAAGGGTCGCAACCCTCAGGTTGAGAACCACTGGTATAAATCCTTCTCTGGAAGAAATGTTTTCAATGAAGAATTAATTTGTATATTTGTTAAGTCTTCTTCTTATTATTATTCTGAGGCTGTAAACTCTGGCAGAGTTGTTTACCCACTTTTAGATGTTAGTAATAATATTAGCGTCTTTGAGAAAACCTGATAACAATATAAAAATAATGTCCTTGTAACAGAACTCACAAGGTCAAAGGAATAAAGGCAGCCCAGAACACAGGGGAAAAGGGAACTGGAGAGAAGCAAAACAAAAGAGAGAACATACAGTGAATTGCATGCAACAGAATAGGATAGGACGACTTGGCTGGAGTTGGTTGAGGGATTAAGCTCCAATGCGGTATAAAGCCTCTCTGGGATCAAATGGGTAGTGCAATAGAACACACGGAAAATATCCATACACTAAAAGATTAATTCAAAGGGGGAGAGGGTGTGAGAACAAGTTCTGGAAGACATTTAACACTGAGGGGGGAAAACGTAGGTGGACTTATAATCAGGTTTAGTATTAGCATGTCGACTCTTTCCTGGTTACTGAAGATATGGACAGAGCTCGAGTGGGAATGTCCCAAGTACAGTGAGGTAAATCCTTGATTCATTCATTAAAGGAGGTGGGGGGGGGGGGGGGGGGGGAGTGTCTTTTGTATGTTAAGAATGGTGGCATGTATCTATCTATCTTTTTCTTCTTCTGTGTTCATCTGTAGATGTGTTGTGCCCATTTACAGCATGGCTGCTATACTTGCACCTTTCGGTCGACATAACCAACTTCTGCAGAAAACAAGCTACAAGGCAACAGGCTGACCAAGAAAGAGATGGGTGGAGGGAGTAAAAGAGACACTATATAAACGCAATACAACATTAACACTACCTACAGGACAGGATACTACCTCTAACTATAAAGTTTACTTAGTGGCCAGAATGTCGAAAATAGGATGTGTCATGCCCAAGCCCAAGCGTAGAAAGATCATTATTTCAGTACAAATGACAAAGATCCGCCAGTGACTGCAGGCCAGATTCAGCCTGCAGGCCGCTGACTGAACAGCCTTATTTTACGGCATAAGCAGTAGGATAAAAGAAGAAAAAAGAAACAAGGCACTAGAAGACTTGCCTTTTACTAACCAATGTAAAAGTATTTATTTCCCTCTTTTCCCTCCAACATTTTAAATCTCAACCACTCCTCCTCTGCCTGCCCCTGTCCTCCTCTCACTCTCTTGCAGAGGCCTGTTTCTTAAATTATCTTCAAGGTACAATTCAAAGATGCCACAAGACAATGATCCGCAACAAAAAAGTAGTCCCTCACCTTGGCTGTGTTACTGGTCAGTTTCTGCACCTGCTGATGAATACACAACTGCTCTCTCGAACCAATCACGGATGACTTGACACTGTCAGCAAACAAATTTCTTTTTATCATCAAAGCGGTTATTAAAAATCAAATATGAAAAACTCATTATCACTATCAATATTTAGGTAGTTTAGACACAGGTCCAAAAATATTGTTCTAATAAGTGCTTCAAGATAAATCTGGCTATAACCCTTTTGTTACAAGAAGTCGTAACAACTGACACTTCCAGTTGGGTCCAACTTCCTAGAAATGTCACTTTCCCAACTTTTCCATAGTGACCTGTTTACAAGGCACACAGTTAATGATACCGGGTTTTTGTTTTGTTTTTGCGCCAGTGCAAATGTTTAGGAGGTCAAATAAATACATTACATTAGCTAAGAACAGAATTTAGGAGGGTTTTCGCTGAGCTAAATGTTTTTTTTTAAAGCCAAGATATGTCACAGTTTCCCATAAGCCTTGATGACAGAGGTCAGTGGGTCACAGCTTAGTCACCAGATACATGTGTGTTTTTTTTATTTTTATTTAGGCCCCAGAGAATGTACTTTATTCAATGCCTCACCCTGTCAATGTTTACTGATTACTTCTTTCATATACCGTTATATGTTTTTAAAAAAATTTCATGTAGTTAAATAAATCTTTTACAAATTTGTTAGTGATAAAGACTTTCTCTAAAATACCATGTGACAAAACAGAGTGCTACAGTCTCGCAGTCCCTATCCACCAGCGAGTACCAAGAAATGCTCTAGAAAGCAAAGGCGGCTAGCATATTGATCACATCACACACCCTATTTTTTTAAATCTGACTCTATTTTTTGTTCCCCTTTGAAAATGTGACTATTCCAAATATGCTCACCTGTTATAGGCTGTTCTCTTCAGCTCTTGCACAGCCTGCGAAAGCTGCGAATGAGTTCTTGATGCATAAATTATCTTGGGTACAACTGTGAAAATTTCAGTGAAGATATATTAGGGCATGAAAATAATTAATATAGTCATGACAAAGGATTTCTTCAATGCAAGTATAACAATACAGTGGAATCTTGAAATATCAATTTTATCCATTACACGACTGAGCTTGTATGGTGAATAACTTGTGTCCTTAAACTATTTTTCGCCATTAAAATTAAAGTAAATAATTTTCATTCCAGTCCTCCAAAATTCACACTATTAGTTTCAAATTTACATTTTTCGCTTGATTAAAGGGGAAAATGTGTGGTACTGCATAATTTTTGTGTGTACCTTCGACCAAGATGCTACAGTCCGTCGTCCTTATTCCACCATCATTATCAAGTGCCCTGTCAACTAGCTTAAGTCCTCCTTTCAGTAATATTAATGTTACTTAATCAATTTAAAAGTTACTGAGATGCTGTCAGGTACCGCTGCGAGTTCTTGCCTCTCCAGCTCGCATCCTGGATTTTGACTTGTACTGGTATTTAACAAATTGCTGTGCCAGAGCTCGTATCCTAAAAATCTCCTATCCAAGTACACTTGTATCCTGAACGTTCATCTGTATCTATAAATTTTACCTATTAGACAGTGGACATTATGGTTCCTTACTCGTCAACTGTTATTTGTTAGGCAACACTTCTACGTCTTCCCACACTTCTACGTCTTCCCACACTTCTATGTCTTCCTACCCTGCCCCACCCACTAACTGGGAACATTTATCTCATCTAAATACTTGTCTAAATACTGGACTAGACGTATGCCTTTCTTCTCTTTCTTTCTGTGTGTTGCGGATTACAGCAAGGCTAGGATATCTGCAACTTGCCGAACACATAATTACAGCACACCCCGAATTAGACACCTGTTATAAAGTGCTTGTTAGGGGGCCGTTGGTCTACACCCCTTTCCCAAATTTGGCCTAAGAACCAACGTGGGAGTTTTTCTTCTCAAAGGTAACAATGCCGCTCCAACCTATGTGATTATGCCCTATCCTGTTTTCTTCTTCTTCTTTTCTCTACTCCCGGAATACCTCACGGTATCAGAGCACGAAGAGAGCTCTGGAACGAGCCCCTCTGTTCGCTTCGTAAAAAGTACTTTTCAGTGTCTCTGATATTTCCATATCCTGTGTGGTCGACCTCTGGCTCTGTTATCGTTGTATTTGTATAACATTGCTCTCTGTGGTGCCCTGTCTGATACCAATAATGTTACATGGCCAAACAATTTGATTTGTTGTCTACCTATAAAGTTCAATATTGGTTCTGTGCCGACTCTCCTCCTGATATTATCGTTCTAGTTTTCATGAGCCTATATAGTAGGGCTATTCAACTGGCAACCCACTGGCCAAATCTGGCCCACCAAATTCCAAAGCAAGTGGCCAGCAAATCATTGCCATTTGTATCGTATTAATGACATTGTTATGCCTGGCAGTTCAAATACCTTGGAGCTGTATTAGACCAAAATGGAGGCATTAAGACTGAGCTGGCTACACGAAAAGCAGCTGCTGGGAGACTCTTCCAGGCCATAAACCGAGGGTTTCTTAGCAAAAGAGAAATTGGCAAGAGGACGAAAATGGCTGTTTACTGCTCTACCTATGTACCAGTCCTGACCTATGGGTGTGAGTCATGGGCAATGACAACAGCTCACAGAAGCCAGCTGCAGGCCTCGGAAATGAGATACCTGAGAAAGGTGGTCCAAGTGACAAGAAGGGACAAAGTCCGCAATCAGACAATACGTCAAGATCTTGATACCCAGCCCTTACTAACCCGAGTGGATCAGTCACAGTTACGATGGTTTGGACATGTGTGCAGAATGGGAGAAAATCGGCCACCATGGCAAGCATGGGAGGCTAAGAACCAGGGAACCAGACCTCCGGGACGACCCAGGGTGCGCTGGGAAGACAACATCCGACAGTCCCTGACTGACAGAGGACTGGAATGGAACAAAGCCAGAAAGAAAACTGCTGATAGAGACGTCTGGCGATCTCTCTGGCAAACCTCTACACCCCAAGGTAGAAGAGGAGCGACTAAGTAAGTAAGTAAGTAAGTAAGTAAGTTATGCCTGGCTCCAGCCTCTAGCCCATGACAATCCCCAGTTTTAAAATTTTGGCTCCTTAGTAAACTTAGTTTACTGCTAAAGCCCTGCTATACCGAGTGACAGTTCATGATTTCCTCCATTTGTCCACTTCTACTTTTTCATTTCACATGCGACCATAAAATTTCAATGTTTTCCTACAATTCCTTTGGTGCTAAAATGGGGTCCCGGAATCCACCGGAGTCTAGTGATGCTTTATCTCTAGATTAGAGACACTAATATTTCTGCATAACATGAAAGTAAACAATGGTGAGGCATGTCTATGCTGCCTTCGAAGCCAAGATAGGAAAAATTGTAACCATCTCCTCCTGGCAACAATCAGTATGAGCACGCACCCAGGGGAATGCCATATTCACAGCGACGTCAACTGTGATAACATAACAAACGATTAGAATAATACAGTGTTTCCCAAACTTGTCATAGTTCAATCAAAATTTTTCCATAGCGCCCTAACCTGAATAAAAGTATGACTATTCGTATGTAGAAGATAATGGAGATTAATTTTTAAAAATGTGCATATCTTCCAATATTTTGCGGCACCCCTGCGAAAAAGTCGCGGCTCCCCGGGATGCACAGTTTGGGAATCACTTATTTAGTACATAAAATTACTCTTACAAAATTCATCAGAACCCCAGCTTGCACCAGAAGCCGTCTGCAGACTGGCTTTGAGTCTGTCCACATTGACATTTCCAGCATCATTGGCTGAGGATGATACCAGAGCGGCAAGACCAGCTTGCTTGGTGAGTTCTACCTGAGCCTTTCGACTTTCCTGCCATGCCAAGGAAGCACAAAGTAAAGACAAAGTTTTCCCTGTACCGGTCGGACTCTCCAGGACGCCATTCTGATTCTGAAATGTGTAAAAAGCCATTTAGAAATCATAACAAATTACTGGCATCATGAGGACTTATGGACTGCAATGGCCGGGGCACAAACAGGGCTAATAGACTGCAATGGCCAGGGCACAAACAGGGCTAATAGACTGCAATGGCTGGGGCACAAACAGGGCTAATAGACTGAAATGGCTGGGGCACATCATGAGGGCTAATAGACTGCAATGGCCGGGGCACAAACAGGGCTAATAGACTGCAATGGCCGGGGCACAAACAGGGCTAATAGTCTGAAATGGCTGGGGCACAAACAGAGCTAATAGACTGCAATGGCTGGGGCACAAACAGAGCTAATAGACTGCAATGGCTGGGGCACAAACAGGGCTAATAGTCTGAAATGGCTGGGGCACAAACAGAGCTAATAGACTGCAATGGCCGGGGCACAAACAGGGCTAATAATCTGAAATGGCTGGGGCACAAACAGAGCTAATAGACTGCAATGGCCGGGGCACAAACAGGGCTAATAGTCTGAAATGGCTGGGGCACAAACAGAGCTAATAGACTGAAATGGCTGGGGCACAAACAGGGCTAATAGACTGCAATGGCGGGGGCACAAACAGGGCTAATAGACTGCAATGGCCGGGGCACAAACAGAGTGGCTGATAATGGAGAGTTAAAAACTGCGTAGGCAAAAGAGTTCAATGGGAGTATCCCAATGTTAGTTCTGGGGCCCTATTCTATTTTTTGCTGATCTTGACCCACACTTCACAGACCCATCTGCATAAATGATGATGTCTTCTGGGCGTAAATGCTGGTAAATCAGTGCCCCTAATCTCTTATGTCTAAGGTGGCAGGTATCTGACTCCCGCAGTACCTCCCCAGTGTTATAACAACCTTAGACAGGTCATGCATGTCTGCTGGTGTATCTATCCATTCTTTTCCATGACTGATCTCGTCTAGGTCACATACTTGCTGGATTAGATTTTCTGAATCGGCCATCCAGGAGAAGCCTTTTTTGAGATGCATCCCTTTTAAATCATTGATAGAGTTGTGCAGTGGGTAGTTGTCTGCCGATATCCTAATGTACACTTTCATATGTGCCACTCTATGTCTGGTGGCCATCGTCAGTAAACGCAGCACATACCACATGGCTTGGCACAATGTGTCTTTTGTGCAGCCAAGTATAAGTCTCATGGCCTCATTTTGTACCCGGTCCAGTATTTCCACCTGGATTATGCTGACACTGAGGAGTCCCAGACTGTCGTTTATAACATTTAGTACAAGTCCCTAATAGAGCAGAAACTCAAGTGTTTCCCATGTAGGCGTATGTCATCGCCTTCAATGCGGGTGGGGGCTGTGTGGTCTCGGGGCATGGCGTGCACCTTGAGTGCTAGAGTTCCTGGGCTCAAGCCCTAATAAAGGTTGGGATTTTTTCGTGTGGACTTCTAGTAATTTTCCCTGGTCTCTGGGTGGGTAGTAAGATCGGATGCCCGCGTGTATTTATGCACACGTAAAAAATCCTTGGCAGTTGGCAATCGAAAAAAGTATTTTAGGATCATTGCCAGTGCTACGTAGTTCGTGCACTGCATTGAGATTCTCCGGACTCAGGCTTGAGTCAGAAGTAGAACAGAGCACTTATGGGTTACTACCTTTGTGCCATGATTTTGGTCCGTTGTCTAAACCTTCAATGGCATCAGACCTTTCCTGGCTCTTACTATGACAATGTCTATGTGATTCTTGTATGACATCTGTCGAAATTTATGCTAAGGTATCTCATTGTGCTCACTCCATCAATGTCTATACCGCACATGCTTACGACTGGCATAGGTATATCGACAATGTGGGTATTCAGGAAGAACCATGCTAAGGAAGCCTTTACGGTGTTTACCAGTGCGCCTGATTCCTGGCACCATTCACTGAGTTGGGCTAATTCATGCTGAAGCGTTGTTGTTTCATCCTTGTTGTTTCCTCGTTGGTACACAAGGATATCATCTGTGAACAACATTGTTCTGCCCAGATCTACTTTCTGTGAACTAGTAACTTATGATGTGTACATATTTTTTTTTTAAACAGGATAATCGTGACCCCCGGGGCAAGCCTATTTAGAGATGACTTGAACAGAGTCCGTTTAAAGTGAAAATTGTATATATTTATTGGGACAGCCCCCCCCCCCCCCCCACCCCCTTTATTTTTTAGAGCATAAGGCAATTTCAATCAGCATAAAGAAACATCTCATACAAAGCAAACATCCCCACCCTAAATTCTACCAGTGCCGGACATGTTCACTAACAACAAATCAGAAAAGAAAATTTGTAACCATAAAATTAGATGTCTGAGAAGGGTTGCAGGAATGACCAGAAACTGATAAAAATCAGGAAGGAAGTCATAAGAGAAAAATTTGCCACAGAATCAATTATAAAATTACATACAAAGACAGTGAATGAAATGGTTTGCCCACTTCGAGAGAAAGCTTTCTGAAGCCACATTCCACAAGACATACACTGAAAGAGGAGAAGGACATAGAGGATAAGGTAGACCAAGAACCAATAGCATTGAATTACTACAACATGAACGATGTTTCTATGGTAGAAGAAAGAGAAAGAAGCAGAACCTTTTATCTTTCTCAACACCTGAAGCTGTAAAAGAAGAAGTGAAGAAGAATTACTCATATATGGGATTTAAAAGGCCTCACATTTTCAATGAAGTGAACAATCTCAACTGCACCTTTTCGCTGCAGAGTATGGAAACGCATATCTGTGCTGCTAATGCAGTCTTGGGGATAGAGTATGCACCAGGAGAAGCTGATGCCTCTGCGATGATATCTGATGTTAGCAATAGACTGACAGAGCATAACACTATATTACCCTGGCAATCCAAGATTGCTGAAGGTTAAGGTGCTCAGCCGTGTGGATGTGGCAAGAAAGAGGAGACTTCCACTGGGGCTGAGTGGTCTCGAGGTATGGTGTCCGCTTCTAGTGCTGGAGGTCCCGGGTTCAAGCCCCGGTGAAGGCTGGGATTTTTCACGTGGCCTTTTAGTAATTTTTCCCTGGTCTCTGGGTAGTAAGATCGGACGCCGTTTGTATTCGTGCACACGTTAAAAAATCCCTTGGCAGTTGGAAATAAAAAAATGTAGCATAATGGCACTGCCCTGGCAAAATTTGGAGAGAAAAATCTACCCAAAGTATTTCAGGATCCTCGCCAGTGCAACGCAGTTCGTGCACCGCGCTGAGATTCTTCAGACTCAGGCTTGAGTTAGAAGTAGAACAGAGCATTTAGGGGTTACACCCGTGTGTCATGATGTTGATCTGTTAAATAAAACATAAACACATCCTTAGAAACTCTTAACCAGAAGCTCAAAAAAAAAAAATGAAGCTTACAGATCTGGAGAAGCTTACAGATCTGGAGAAGCTTACAGATCTGGAGAAGCTTACAGATCTGGAGAAGCTTACAGATCTGGAGAAGCTTACAGATCTGGAGAAGCTTACAGATCTGGAGAAGCTTACAGATCTGGAGAAGCTTACAGATCTGGAGAAGCTTACAGATCTGGAGAAGCTTACAGATTTGGAGAAGCTTACAGATCTGGAGAAGCTTACATATCTGGAGAAGCTTACAGATCTGAAGAAGCTTACAGATCTGGAGAAGTGGCTTTAGAAATTGAGACTTTCAGGCATAGGTACAGCTAAAGGTGAGAGGATCAACTTCATTGCATCGGGTCTTTTCCCATATCAATCAGGTGCCATCTCCACAGTGAAGTTGGCTGCAATGGATCCCCAACACACCCTGCCTCTTATCCTGGTTGTATACTTTCTCAAACTGCTGCCCATCTATCTCTTGATGTTGTCCTCCCACTGGTATCATTGTCCACCTTTTGCTCTTATGCCTTTGACCTTTCCCTCCAGTATGGTTTTTAAAAGCATGTTATGTGTTTTAATGTTGCCAAAGTATTTCAACTGTCTCTGTTTTTTTTTTCTTTTCAGTAATTCTCTTTTTATTTGTAGTTTTTCCAGAACCTCTGTATTGAACAGTTTTTGTTTCCATGAAACATGACTTGTTCTTTTGTGTGCTCACATTTCAAGGGACTCAGTTCAATTTCAACTAGTCATATGGCTCAGTCTCAGAACAGCTAGATGCCTGCCGAAAGCGCCGCAGAGAGCACGACCACTGTAGCTCCGGTGAAAATGTACAGACCTATGTCTCCAGATAAATAGAAACAAATATCTCCAGATGTGTATATTAAACCCTCTAGCATTAAATGAGAAAAGGTGACCTACTTAAATAATTTCCAGGAAGACCTACCTTCTGTAGACATGTGAGGACTTTGCTCATGTAATCCACCTGGCATGGGTAAGGTGTGAATGGAAAATTCACTTGAACCCCACTGATTTCCAGCAGAGGCATTCTGTTCAGACTGTCATGTGTGTCCAACAACTAATACTGTGTGTGTTCTTTTCTGTGAAATAATTAACATAATAAATTATTCACTGACCAAATGACCTGTCCGAAAGAAGTCAGTTCTTCTTAGTATGGTTCTCTCGGCCAATGGTTTTCAGATGAGAAGGCCACAGCCTCTATGAAGTCTGTGGTGCGACACACATATTCCATTGTTCCATGCAGTTTGGTTTCCACTGAAATACCAACTGGTCAAACCTGGGATTTCTCTTCTGCATGAAGAGAACATGTCTGTAGCACATATTCAGTATTCTTTAGTGCCTGTCTACATGGGCAAAGTTCTGAATCCTCAGTTTTGTATTTTTTGTACACATGGCTGCAGAGTCTGTTGTGTCCAGTACATAGTCTAAATATTAGGGTCTGTTTCCTTCCTGTGAGGAAGTTGATTAGGTCTTCAGGATTTTGTTCCAGATGGGAAGTGTTTCAATGGGTTCTAATGGTTACCCTGATCTGATATAATTCAATACTTATAATTCAACAAATTAATCTTTGATTTAACGGAAGTTGGAACAAAATTTGTTTTCCATATGCATACACACAGTGGCAAGATGATTTCGGTCACAGGCGTGAGGAAAATCTGATGTGATGTGTATAAGTAGATACTCTGTACCTCACTCGGGCACTAGTCCTTCACTGTTCTGGTTTTAAGGAAACCTCATGCAAGACTCCTGCTGCACGTCCCCGTCGTGCACCATGGATAGTGTCTCAAATGAGCATTAACAGAGTTGGCAGGGGATCTCGGAGCTGGCGGCCCCTAGAGGTGTAGTGTCCTTTCTGGCCCTCATCAGCCTGCCCCCAAACGCATGAGTGAAAAGTCTATCAAAACTCATTCGGTACATGAGTAAGGTCTGCTTGGCAAATGTACCACCAAATGACAACTTTCGGTTAAAAGTCTGGAGCGAATGGAAGACTATACTGCTGAGACTCAGCACGTGACCAAGAGATCTACCCACAGCCAAGACAAGTAACATCTCTTGTGGGTGGTTTCTCGCAGTCAGATTCTACCTATGCACACCCTCTGTCAATCCTCAGCGGCGTCATCACTGCGCTGAGGTACACAACGACAGCAACTTTTTATCCGCTGGCTGGGTAATAATGTCCGACAAAGTTAGATCCTACGGCATTCAAGCAAGCTCAAAGTCCGACCGTCATAAATCGTACCGACTAGAAAAAAAAAGTCCAAATTTCCGTATACACTGGCCCACTCGCCCGAGTGTTGGGACCAAACAGGTGAATCCACGCCAGATGCATGCTTCCCCATACTGTCGTGCTATGGGCACAGTTAAAACAACGTTAAAGGTGTCTAACCTGCAATGAAGAAGAATGTACCTATTTGTGTGGCCACAAAAGTCCAGAACCCATGGGCTGCTCCCCGCTGATCTCCGGAGAACACAGCCCGTGATGAGCGGGAAGCCTAATACGGTTGCGAGGTTAAGCAGTTATGTGCAGGATGTGACGATTCCTTGGGTGAGCCCAGAACCAGAGCGTTATGTGTCGGCTCTGCATTTATGGAACCCTCCTTGGATGGCGGAGAATGCTCATGATCTGCCTTCTCTTGAGGGTTAAACGATCCACACAGGGCTGCCCCAAAGGGGGTACTCTGGGGGCAACACCTGTGGAGAAAGGGACAAAGAGGTCACCACACAAATAAGGTAACATCTCGACCCACCCAAAACAATGGCCACAGTCATCCTAGAAATAGGCTTGACGTCTTCCCTCGAAGTCAGAGTACATCTGCCCGTGAGGCAGGGAACGGCAAAAGCCAGTAAAACGGTTGTACATGCAAAACACAGGTCTGGGTAAAATCCAAAAGTTCATGCGGACGATTAACTGAGACCTACTGCCAGAATTCACAGCCGGTGAACAAAGAAGAAGCAAAGCATACACACACAAAATACGCTGGTCTATGTGGACCACACAAAGTTCAAATGCTGCTGTTTTAAAAGATGTCCTACTTTCTTCATATTTCAGACTCCAAGAATCTTACCATAGCTTATTATCAGCAATAACTCAGCTTAGAACTGACATCCAGACATGAACGAGGAACTGTTGGAAACAGCATTTTAATGTGTATCCAGCTGTATTGGTTTTATAAGTAAAAAAATGATTTTGAAAATTTGACTGAAGTACGTAAGCCTTGCCTTATGTTTTCTTCTTTTGTTGTCTCACTGACACCAGATTGTTACGACTGTAGCCCAGTATCGTTGTTTAAATAATAATATTACTAATATACTATTGGAAGACTAACAAACAAGACAGACCATTTATTTTAACTAACAGGAAATGGTTGCATCAGAGGGAAAGATGAGAAAATTATAATAACTGATAAGAATGATACAACACCTTGATTAAAGGTTCGCCTGGTTTTTTTTTTAGGGGGGGGGGGGGGGGTAGATCATAAATCAAACATGGGTACTCCGGGTAGGAAATCATCCAAACCCACATTTAATGATTCCCAGATTATTACTATTACAAGAAGTTAATTAATGTTCTGTCTGTGAGTCTGTCTGTTTTGTTGCATATGCACAAACAGAAATGTATCATTATCGGCTGCAAAAATACTACCATTCATTCTGCTGAATCTTACCTGAGTCTCTACACAAGAAAACAACGCCGAATGTCAATATGCCCACACTCAGCACTATTCTTCAGAATTCATGGTCCCGCCATTACAGAGCAGATCAAAACAAAATTCTGCTTCCGGGTAAAAGTTGACAGGACCTCATAATCATTATGATACATTCTTTTGCTCTCAACAGGGTTGTCCAGTCGGTCAGGAGCGACACAGAAGAAAAATATTGAGGTGTGCCAGGGGGTTCTAGCATCCCGAATAATTTGTTTAGGAGTAGGGGGGTGGGGTCAACGGATTTAAGAATTTTTATTTTTATACTCAGCAAAAGAAAAACTGCAAGCAGACGAAAATGGCTGTTTACCGCTGTACCATAGACTTATAACACGTAATCTGGTAATCCTAGTTTCAGCATCATAGCAAACGGGTCACCCCATTGTTGCTCCGCTCCTGTGCCAACGAAAAACACTCGTAGCTCACAGTGTCACACCATGCACTCAACTCAGAAGCTGGGTGACGAAACCATATCCTTCCAGTCTACAAATGGAGCAAAAATGCAACGGCCACCGCCTGGCAGAACTGCCACGGCTAAAAAAAAAAAAAAGTGGCCGTGCCTAGCGTCCACTGTGACTGTGACACTATAACACGTAGACTCACTGATGACTTGGGAAAGCATGGCAGGTTACCATCCACACTTGGAGGATATAGGCGTAGCAAACAGACATGGCTCAGTGAAGCAGTTTTTGCCTGTGCAGTCTTCAAAGTTTTTTAGATGAGAGAAAAGATGTACAGCCGGACTAGACTTAGAGTTTGCATCACGCAGTACCATTTGAATATTTTGTGCGCATAACTTCTCTAACTGGAAGTATCTCCCTTCATCCGATGGGTAGCCGCTCCATTATTCCGGAGACAGGTGATACTCAGGCATGGTTGTTGGTCTTCAGAACCGATAACCATCTGTCCAGTACTGCTTCAGGGTTCTCGACTGTCTCTAATTTTTTTCAGTGTGTATACAGGGCTGATAACTGATCAGCAGTTGCACGGGAGTGGCAGGCCTTTGTCATTTGCTGATGACATCCTGGTATATTGACACAGAAGAGATCGTCAAGAGATTGCCAATTCAATGCAGAGTGAACTTGATCACATCTCCTGGTGTGTATATTCTAATGTACATGTCCACCCTTCAAAGACCTCATTAACATGACTCTCCTTGAAGATGCTTAGAGTGAAGGCAGACTGCCAGCAGTGGAAAGTAGAGACGAAGCTTTGACGAAAACAAATCTGATGACATATTTCAGAGTGAGGTCTGATCACAGTCTGTCCTTCAGAAAACATGTTGACCATGTCATAACAAAAGCATACAAAAAAGACTTCTCAGCAATGATGGTCCTGGCTGCCGTCATTATTGAGCAGAGACTGCTTCTGTTCCAGGGAATTGTTCTTTGTCCCATCGAATAAGCGTTAGTCATTCTCACTGTCAGCTATACTCATATCGTCTGAACAATCCTAAAAAGTAGTTTGACGCAAAACTGATATAAAACCTGGTCTTATTTTTGAGGACACAACCTCCCCCCCCCCCCCACCTTTTCCTTCTTATTTTCACAGCCCAATGCGTATTTTGAAGCAAAAATAATATAAAACCTTGTCTTATTTTCGAGGATCTCCCCTCCCCACCTTGTGTTTCCTCCCCGAGTCTTCTAGCAGGAGTGATAGGGTTACCCTGGAGCACAGTTTAAAAATGCGAATTAAAGGGTGCGTGTCAGACAACGTAAATAACAAAGCGCACAAGAGTACTACATGCATAATGCTAAGCTTATATTTAGTGATCTAAATTAATCTCTTGTAGGCTCGATCGATAGCAGCTGCCGTGGGGGAGACGTCTGTGAATTCCACCTAGGAACTGGAACAAGGGCCTGAGCAGGGGCGCCGAATGCTGGGATCACAGGCGACTCGAGCGCCTCCCCGAAGCTCCAATAATTTTGTAAGGATGCTAGACAGTCCCATCTAATCATGTATAGAGATTCTGGTTCTTCTTCTTCTTCTTCTTCTTCTTCTTCTTCTTCTTCTTCTTCTTCTTCTTCTTCTTCTTCTTCTTCTTCTTCTTCTGCGTTCGACATCAGTCATGCTAAACATTGAGTCCCGTCTGGGTCAAAAATAGGATTGTGCGTTTAAGGTCGCCACCGGTCCCCCATAGCTTCTCTCGCAATGTGGATCACCTGGGCCAGATCCACAGTCTTTGCTGGGAGAGGTAAGGGCAGTACTGCAGTATATGCTCAGGGGTCTGTCTTTCTGCTCCACAATCACAGGCAGCAGATTCTTTTATGCCTATCCTGTACAGGTGTGCTCGAAGACCACAGTGTCCAGTCCGAAGTCTATTCTG